TGAATCTATTAAAATCGATTGTAAGTTATAAATATTCTTATTATATTCAATTTTGTAAATTTTTTTATAAGATAAAATTAGAAATCGCAACGAATCAAGTTAGATTATAATAAAATTTTACTTGTTTCGAATTTGATTTAATTTTATATTTATTATATCCGAATTTGATCTTGTCTAACACGATTTTTTTATTTTTTATTTTTTTATATCCGACCCGATATTATAAAAATTGTATTCCATTTGATTTAATTTTAAATTAATAAAATATTATTTTTTAAAATATAAAATATTATTTTAAATATAAATATAAAATTAAATAAATATATAAATATAAAATTTTAAAAAAATTTATACATATAAGATCGAGTCGAATTTGTTTAAAACTTGACCTAATCATGACTTTTTTTAATTATTATTCAATCCAAAATTTAGTTTTCAAAAAAAAAAATCGACTTTAAAAAATAGAATCAAATCAAAACTTGTTGAGAATGAATTTATCTATCAATTATAGATAAATAATGAGATTCAATAAATAAAAAAATTAATAGTTCATAAATTAATGTGATAATTGCGAGGGATGACCGTTGCAAGAGATAACTGATCTTTACTTACAGTAAAGAAGTAGCAAAGGCCATACACTGAAAATTAAATCTTACGCGTTGCTGCCGAGTAAATGGTGGTGGAAAACAGGAAATCATAAATATTTTTTTTAACTATTGGGTTTGGATTCATGGTCTGGATACGTGTTCAACTATATTTATTTTCTATTGATTAATTTACAAACCTACTTTTTTATGACACCCTCTATGGTTTTATGATGAGTTATTTAGCACTTTATAGCTGATCAACTCTATTTAAGAACAATCTTTAAATATGTTTGTAATAGTACCAAAAAAATTTACCAATGGGAGCTCGTGACAAGTGATTCAAATCTAAAGATTAAAATTTGATTTTGAATTCAAGTTTTTGCTTGCTTTGTTTTTTTTGAAGCGCCATATCATTCAAAGTAAATCAAAATTTTGTTTAGTATTGCAATTGCGATCAAAATTGTGATTAAAGATTATTATTAAAAGTAGAATCATAATTTGAAAATTTTACGAACAAAATAGAATTTTTTTTTAATTTTATATTTTGTTTAGTATCATATTTATTGTCAAATTTGACCACCACAAACTCAATTGCATTATTGAAATGGATTATTGAGTATTAAAATTTGCATTTTTTATTATTTAACATTGGAATTGGATAAAAATATTTTTTAAATGTAAATATTACTTTTAATAATAACTTTAATCTAAATCTTTGATTTGAGCCCAAACAACTTCATTTTTTATTTTCAATATAAAAAAATAAAGTAGTGTTTGATTTCATAAAATAAAGCCGTTTTTTATTTTTATTTTTTTTGGAAAATAAAAAAAATAGTGAAAACGTATTTGATAATTAAAAATAAAAATAAATTTTTAGAAAACAAAAATAAAATGAGTTGAAATATGAAAACAAAAAAAAAATTCAATTATGAACATAAGAGATCTACATTATTATTTTTTTATGTTTTACAAATTATCATATTTAAAATTTTTTTAATATTATTAATTAATAAATATATATTATATTTATAATTAAATGACATTAATATTATTATTATTGAATATTTTATTTTTTATTTTTACATTTTCAGAAAATAATTTTTATTTTTATTTATCAATTACAATTTTTAAAAAATAAAAATAAAAATAAAAAATATTTTCTCAAAAATCAAACAGACTAAAATTCCCTCCTAGGCAAAGGGAGCAACGTGGACTCAATCAGACGAGAAGCTGAAAAATTAATGGACCGTATGTCGTCTTCCTAAAAACTTTATTACAATTTAATAAGTTAATGAATCATACGTATAAAAAATGATCATACTTTGGCCTTGTTTTCAGGGAAACATATCTCCTCAAATTGGACGACTGACGATATTTTCAAGATGAAAATGATTACTCGAATTGAATTAATTCAAGATATTATGGAACAATCGAAATCTTTTAATTTTTTGCTTGCTTTAGAATCAGTGTCAATGAGACAAATCATGATGACCAAATATATGTTGGGCACGTGAAGGGTAAATAAATTCAGCACTCACAACCATACTCGGCTGCCTTCACCAGTCATCATTAATTTTGATTAATGTTGCGTATTAATTTTTACATTTATTTCTTTACTCTATTGCCCATAAATATTATAAATTGAAAATATTACAGAAATTTTACGAAGTATTAGTTTTTCCCCCACCCCATAAACAAATTTGATTACAGCATTTCTTTATTTCTTCTTCTCAATTTTTTATATAATTTAAATATGGCTGATTTCAAAGAAATATAAAATATAATCGTCCTATTTTCATTTTTTGTTTTCTCATTATTTTTTTATATATTTAATAATTCATATCATTATATCATGTAAAATATTATATTCATATTACATTTTATATAAAAAAATACGTATCATAGTATGTGTTGACACCAAAACATATAATATAATTTTTTAGTTTTATTAAATTTATTTATGATTTTTTTTAAGTTTTAAATCGTGTTATTTTCATATTATATCAATATATCGTATTTTAAATTGTCAAGTTTAATTTTTTATCTTTTTACCAACTTAAAAAGTATTTTTATATTTTAATAATTAAAAATATTCATGAATTAAGTATCAAAAGATAGAATTATTTTTCCTTTTTTTTTTCCAAAAAAAAAAAATGAAGGATGAGGTCGGCAATGGGCAACACCCTGTAATTAATTAATATACAACACAATTGTAGTAATAAATATTGGCCATGACTCAACCCAACAACAAAGTCAAAAATTAATCACATTTTTATTACTACGTTTTAATTTTATTAATATCCAAATTTCCCAGACTTTTCCTTGACTTAAATTTGGATTCCAGCTAAGAGTAATTTGGACATTCCATGGAAACCTAATAATTTATAATAAGTAGTTCCACAATTTTATTTCATCAATTAAATTCGGATCATCGACTTTAAATGCATAATTAATTCATGAAAATTTTTTCTTCCTCTCAGTGGGGATGAACAGTCTTGCTGCTTTTGCTTAATTTATTGATCATCACAAAGTCTCAACAGTTTTATAGCTTATCATTATTATTGCAATTAAATCAGTTTTGAATTTCATGACAGTGAGTGATGAGTCCCGTTTTCTTTTCCCCTACCAGCCATTGCTCAAAACATTTCAGACAAACTTTTAGGTAGTATTAAAATCTATAGATATTAATACTATACATACATACATATATATAAATATTTTATATATATATATCTGAAAAATGAAGAAACAAAGGAATTAATACCATTTGTTATATTGAATAAATTCGTTGCATTTATCTGTGTCAAGCTTCATCTTTAATCAAATGTTTGGTCGAATTAATATGTTTTGGACCCATGGCTTTTCACTCGAAGTAAATACATTTTAAGCAAATGTCAGCACTCCCCACGTTCTTTACATAAATACCTATACTACATATACAGTTATCAACTTTCCTTCTCTTTCCTTTTACTTTTCACAACCAAATAAAAAATCCTTCAAGAATAATCCCCCGTGCAACTTTACTCCAATTTGTAAGTGTTTTAATCCATTAATTAACAACAAATCAGCGCTTAATTAGCTGCAAAAAGCAATTATGATTTTCGTACGTAAAGGCAACAAATTTATAACGTCAATGTATAACACAATTCAACAAAAATGTTTACCATCAATGTATATAAATAAATCAAAATTTATTATATGTTGATGCTTGGGCCTATAGATAGCAGGCAATTAAGAAGGTGACCTAAATGTGCATACCATGGAAAAACAAAAGGGTCTACATGGCTTCTCGAATCTCAGACTAGTATAAACAGTATAATAATGTCTATCACCATTTTGCCTTTATCCAATGCCTCTACTTCAAATTCTTATATTTACTAGTATTTAAGAAGAAAAAAAAAAAAAACCCACAATGGTCCTATTTATCTATGTATTTACTGCCGTGGTACCAAATTTTATCGTTGACATATTAAATAATTTATTAAAGTTAAACATAGTATTTATTAGAATGGGTAGTTTTCCAACCAAGAACGTAAAAAATTTTGGACCGTAAATCTTAGTCCAATTCCAAATTAATCTTAAATATTTTTTAAAAAATAATAATTAATATAGAAATATCTTAATATGTTAAACATAAATGCAAAAATATAAATAATACATAATGGAAATCATTCACTTTATTTGTCACGTTTTCAATGAAATTTCCGATTTTATTTGAAAAAAAATTGTAATTATGCTATCAAATTACAAACATGTAAACAGTTATCGCTACATGTAAAATACACATAAGCACCAATAAAATAAAAATTCACAAAAAAGAATTTTGTAATTAATTCAATCAATTTATTTTCATATAGGATTAGGGATGTTTTCAAGTTTTGTTACTCTTAATTTTTTCCTGAACAATCTTCACATTATCTCATATTGATTTAGTATATTTATAATTTTACTTGCTCGTATCGATTTAATATATTTAAAATTTTATTCTCAAAATATTTTTTGTATGAATTGAATTTTAATTGATAAAAAATAAAAATTCTTTTCTTATTAATTGCAATTAAGTCGCAAGCAAATAATTGGCACAATCAAATATTTATTTATTCAAATCTAAATTTAAAAAGTTGTGAATTTTATGATTAGAAAGGAACATGTAAATATTAAATAAAATTATCCATAATTAATTAATCTAATCCATTTATTTATAATGAAGGGTATAATGGTCATATAGCCTTAACCAATATTTACTACGTACACTATCGCCTATATAATGCACTAGTATTTCTACTTGAAGCATCTCTCCCTACGTTTTCCTTGCTTTCAACTACATTCTCTCTCATATCTCTCTTTCTATATTATTGTCTATTTTCTAAGGAACAAAAATTCTCTATTTGTTTGCTTTGGCTTAATTTCCAAGAATATGGGGCGGTCTCCATGCTGTGAGAAGGTGGGGTTGAAGAAAGGGCCATGGACTCCCGAAGAAGATCAAAAACTCTTGGCTTACATTGAAGAACATGGCCATGGAAGCTGGCGTGCCTTGCCTGCTAAAGCTGGTCTGCTGATCATCCCCTTTAATCCGTTTTTGTAACAAATCAAATTTGATTCAGTGTTAACCTTATGTTTTGGCTTTACTTTTGATATATATAGGACTTCAAAGATGCGGCAAGAGTTGTAGACTTAGATGGATTAACTACTTGAGACCAGATATCAAAAGAGGAAAGTTCAGTTTACAGGAAGAACAGACCATCATTCAACTCCATGCCCTTCTTGGAAACAGGTGATTAATTTTGAAGATCCTCAGGTTTTTGTTAATTACTAATCATCCTATATATTTTTTGAATGATCATGATTAATTATTTTAATTACAGATTATGTTTCCATTTAGAATTTATCATCAAGCAATGCTAGTTTTTGTCGTGAGATTATTGGACTCCTATAATTGGAATAAATTCATGTCAAATATATATAGGTGGTCGGCTATAGCTACTCATTTACCAAAAAGAACAGACAATGAGATCAAGAACTACTGGAATACACATCTGAAGAAAAGATTGACCAAGATGGGGATTGATCCCGTAACTCACAAGCCTAAAACCGATGCCCTCGGCTCCGCAAGTGGTAACCCCAGGGATGCAGCTAACCTCAGCCACATGGCTCAATGGGAGAGTGCTCGGTTAGAAGCGGAAGCTAGATTGGTCAGAGAGTCGAAACTAATTTCAAACCCTCCTCAAAACCAGCTTGCTGGCGCCTCCTCTTCCTCGGTTCCACAGCTCACGAACAATGCTGTTGTGGCTGCTCCAGCAACTAGACCACAATGCCTTGACGTACTTAAAGCTTGGCAAGGTGTAGTTACCGGATTGTTCACCTTCAACAGTGACAACCTCCAGTCTCCAACATCAACGTTGAACTTCATGGAAAACACGTTAGCTATCTCGTCTGTTAATGGATTCAATGACAACTTTCTTGGGAACTCATCAATTCCTTGTGAAGCTGGGGATATTGTAAAGGTCGACAGCAGCGCAAATGAATGGAAATGTCTGGAGAAATCGAACCAAATTCCGGAGTTAAATAGGGAAAGATTGGATAACTCAATGGGGTTGCATGAAATGGCCTACTCATCAGAGGGTGCATGGTTTCAAGACTCGTACAGGGCAGAAAACATGATGGAATGCTATTCGGATATAATGGTTTGTGATTCTGGCGATCATCTACAGAGTTCGTCAATGGCGGCGCCTGGACAAAACTTGAATGGAACAAACTATGCTAGTACTTTCGAGGAGAACAAGAACTACTGGAATACCATCCTCAATTTGGTTAATGCTTCACCATCTGATTCACCTGTGTTTTGAAGTTGTTCAGCGCTGGATAAAAGTCCCAGGTCTAGAATTTGACTTATAAGTAATTTAACATTCCAATTAACTGTAACGAAAAACTTTCCAATCAATAAAATTAGTCACTAGGTTTCTAGTCTAGCTAATGAAAAAAGCCAGAAGCAATTTAGCTAGTTATGCTAAACACCTCTCACCCTTGTTATAGATTAAAATCTCCATTTCCAATTCTAATCTCAATAACTTGAACCAAATCTTTGTTAGCAGGTTCGATGTTAATTCATTATATACAGTAATTAACTCTTTGAACCATGGGTTTTAATAATTATATTCAATTTCCATGATGGCTGCAATGAAGAGTAACTGAATATGGAAGAAATATAACAAATCTTTAAAGTGAAATTTATCAATCTTAAGAAAAGCAATATCAGTTATTAGTAGATACTATATAATTTTAAACGCGATATAAAAATTAAATGAAAAAAAATATAAAATTAATATAATTTAAAATTTTAACAAAAATTATATATAAATTTTTTAAAAAATTTATATTTAATATATTTACACGAATTATAAGACATTAATTTTATATTTTATATGAATTAAATACGAAATAAAAAAATACGAATAGCTAAATCCACTTGTTAATTAACCTCGGCTCTTAACGTAACGATAATAACCAGAGCTCAATTTTCAATAGAAACGTGACCCTATTCTGACAAGTGCGACATTTCAGTCAGATAAAAGAAAATAAGCTATAATATATTTGAAATTTCTATAGTAGTTTGATAGACCAAATTCCAAACCAAAGCTAGCTTCCAAAATATTGTTAGTTCGAGGATTATTACAACCTTGGAATTATATGGTGAAATATATATATATATATATATATATATATTAAAAATTTTCAGTTTCATTATAGAACTTTTTTATTCCATATAGTGTAATTATCAGTCTCCATTGAAGATGAATTAATAGATAGGCCACGATGCTGAAGTCAGCCAGGCTTTTTGTCGTAAGCTAACTTTGTATAAGATCACGATCGGGGTTTAGATTGTCATGAGCTACTTATGTATAGGATCATGATCGGGTAGAATTTTTGTGTTAGAAAAAGTGTTCCTATTTCAAATATTGTAATGGTTACTGGTAGCATAGCTCTAAAATCTCTAAGGCTCTTTAGGGGGTGAGTCGGTAGCGTACTGTCGGGCTGTTTCACCGGTTGCTATGCAGGCCTAGGCCATCCACCAAGGGCTACCCCCTGGCCCTAGTAATAGTGAGAAGTCCCGATGTATGGTTATCGATTATAATAAAATTTATCCCGATTGAATGTCCCGAATGTTGTCTCGATGTGTTTTTCTTTTTCTCGATGTGAATGTGCCTTTTTGTGTGTGCTTGAGATTGATCTCGATATAATATGTCTTATTGTGAATGCTTGGGACTAACCATGGCTTATGGTTATTTGTTCAGATATCAAACTATTGAAGGCTGACTTGGGTGGAAACGTCCATTCAAGTGCCGCACGATCTATTGCTTGTTAAGAGAAAGCTTAATCCATGACATGTGGTATCATAGCACGGTTGATAAGTGCTAGAAAATGAAAGAGATGGCCACAAGTGGTGGACCCAATTACCAACAAAGAATTGAGGAACTTGAGGCCGCGATGGCCGCAATGAAAACTCACACGGTGACTAAAAATCGAGTAAGGGAGATCGAGACAACCCAGCGAGAGTTGTCCGATACTCTCCACAATGTGAGCGAGGAGGTTAGAGATGCCTTGAATATTCTCCAAAAGGAGTTTGAGGAACTCAGAGCACAGGTGAGCATCTTACAAATGGCTATGGCCAGATCAGGTTCGAGCTCGGTGGAAAGGGTAAAAAGATCCAAGGTGCCGAAACTTTGATGCTATGAGGGGGCAAAGGATGCTAAGGAGTTTGAAAATTTCTTGTTTGACATGGAGCAGTACTTTCGAGTTTTACACACGGAGTCAGAGGAAGACAAGGTAGCAATGGCATCGATGTACCTCATAGGGGATGCCAAGCTATGGTGGCGCTCCAAGTTTATCAATGACGAATGTCCGATTAAGACTTGGACGGACCTGAAACAAGAACTGAAAAATCAGTTTTTCCCTGAGAATGTGGAGTATATGGCTCAAAAGAGACTTCGAAAATTGGTGCAAACAGGAACAGTGCGAGAGTTTGTAAGAAGCTTTTTTACCCTGATGTTGGATATTCGAGACATGTCCGAAAAAGATAAGATGTTTTCTTTTCTTGAGGGCCTCAAGCCTTGGGCCAGGACAAAACTACAAAGACAAAAAGTGCAAGACGTGGCCACGGCCATGGCTGCAGCTGAACGTCTTCACGATTATAATGATGGCTCCTCAAAACAAAAAAATCCTCCATCAGCTGGTAGTAGCTTCAACTTTGGAGTGGGGGGAAGATGACCAAGTTGGAACGACCCTTCAGTGGGGGACCAGATAGGAGGTCCTTTGGTCGAGATAGCACCCAACCCAAGACAAGCAACGCAGTGATTTTCAAGCCTAGGTAATCGCTAGCTTGCTTCATTTGCAAGGAGCCGCATCGGGTGGCCGAATGCCCACACAGAGGAGCCCTTAATGCCTTAATAACCTCGTCTCAAGAGTCTGTAAAAGTGCTAGAGAGTGTCAAAGAAGTTAAAGAGGAGCCAGCCATGATGGGTTTAATAAGGTTCCTCAATGCCCTCCACACCCAACTGAACACGATAAAGAAAGAATAGAGTAGAGGCCTGATGTATGTGAACTTAATGATTAATGGGAAGGCCACCATGACCATGGTAGATACGGGTGCAGTCGATACTTTCAGCACACTAGAAGAAGCAAAAATGTGTGGTCTCCAAGTTAGTAAGGACTGTAAACGAATGAAGGCGGTCAATTCGTCAGCCTTTACGATTAGTGGAAGCTCCAAGAGTGTGACAACCAAATTGGGGCCATGAGAAGGGAATGTGGACTTTACAGTTTCTCCCATGGATGACTTTGATATCATCCTCGGATTGAACTTCATGATGTTGGCTCAAGTGATCCCTATCCCCGCTGCTAGCTGCTTGTTGTTCTTAGGAGAACACCCATGTGTGGTGCCGACCAATATCTTGTCAAAGAGTGAGAAGAGAATGATTTCAGCTTTACAGTTCAAGAAAGGGGTAAAGAGAGGGAAACCCTTTTTTGTGGCCATACCGATCTATAAAGAAGGGTCGAGAGTGGAACCGATACTCGATGGCGTGAAAAAAATGTTAGAAGAATTCGAAAAGGTGATGCCAGAGATGTTGCCTAAGGTTTTACCCCCTCGATGAGCAGTGGACCATGAAATTGAGCTCCTCCCAAGAGTGAAACCCCCTGCTAGAGCTCCTTACTGCATGGTCCCGTCAGAGTTGATCGAACTAAGGAAACAATTAGATGAACTTCTACAAACTGGGTTCATTAGACCATCAAAGGCTCTTTTCAAAGCGCCAATGCTATTTAAAAAGAAGCATGATAGAAGTTTACGATTATGTGTTGACTACAGGGCCCTAGACAAAGTCACCGTGAGAAACAAATATCCCATCCCTCTTATAACAGACTTGTTTGATCAATTAAGCTAGGCCAAGTATTTCTCCAAATTGGACTTGAGATCTGGCTACCATCAGGTTAGAATCATTGAGGGAGATGAGCCAAAGATCACTTGTGTAACACGGTATAGTGCATTTGAATTTCTTGTTATGCCCTTTGGATTGACCAATGCTCTTGCCACATTTTGTACGTTGATGAATCAGATGTTTCATGACTACCTAGACAAATTTGTAGTCATCTATTTAGACGACATAGTGGTATATAGCTCAACTCTGGAAGAACATCAAAAACACCTGCGTTAGGTGTTTCGAAGGTTTCAGGACCACCAGTTATATGTGAAAAGGGAGAAGTGTGCATTTGCTTAGACCCAAATCCATTTTCTCGATCACATTGTTGAACGTGGCCATATTCGAATAGACATTGAAAAGGTTAGGGCCATCAAGGAGTGAACAACAACAAAGAATGTTAGTGAATTAAGCTCGTTTTTTGGACTAGCCAACTATTATGGAAGTTTTATGGAAGGGTACTCTCGCAAGACCACGACCCTCACAGAGCTATTGAAGAAAGAGTATAAATGGTGTTGGGCGAGTGAGTGCCAAGAGGTTTTTGAGGGATTGAAGAATGCTATTATGAAAGATCCCATCTTAACTCTCTTTGATATTGAAAAGCCTTACGAAGTTCAGACAGATGCATTTGATTTTGCTATTGGAGGAGTACTTTTACAACAATATCACTCGATAGCATTTGAAAGTAGGAAGCTAAGTGAAGCTGAGAGAAAGTATACGGCCCAAGAAAAAGAGCTCCTGACGATAGTTCACTGCTTGAGGGCTTGGCGACATTATTTGTTGGGTTCACACTTTGTCGTGAAGACAAACAATGCAGCTATTAGCCATTTTCTCACCCAACCAAGGCTTACAACGAAACAAGCTAGATGGCAAGAATTTTTAGCGAAGTTTGACTTTTACTTTGAGCACATCGCTAAAAAGATCAATCAAGTGGCCGATGCATTGAGCAGGCAAACAGAGTTAGCAGCCCTTAAAAGAATTGCTCTAATGGTGGCTAGTAGAGTCACGACAGATGTTCACAAATTGATTGAGGATCATTTAGGGAAGGACTCACAGGCCAATGCCATCCTGAAGCTAGTGGAAGAGGGGAAGTCCAAGTACTTCTAGTAAAAAAATGGGATCTTATGGACCAACGGGCCTCGATTGTTTGTACCAAGGGCAGCAGGTCTGAGACAGATGCTGATGAGAGAATATCATAACACCCCATAGACGGGTCATCTAAGCTGGCAACGCACTTTGGCGTTATTGAAACAGGGGTACTATTGGCCTCAGATACGACAAGATGTAATGGATTATACAAATACTTGCCTCATTTGCCAACAAGACAAAGTTGAAAAGAGAAAACCTGCAGGCTTACTTAAACCACTATCGGTACCTGCCAGACCATGAAAAAGCATCTTTCTCGATTTCATTTTGAGCCTACCCAAGGTTGGTGATCTCGAAGCTATTTTGGTAGTGATTGATTGGTTCTCTAAGTACGCCACATTCATTCCTGCTCACAAGTATTGTACAGCAAAAGACACAACTCGACTATTATTTAAACATGTGGTCAAATACTGGGGTCTCCCTCAAAACATTGTCAGCGATAGAGATCCGAGATTCACGGGGTCTTTCTGGAGAGAACTTTTCAAGATATTGGGGTTTCAACTCAACATCTCCTCAAGCTACCACCTTCAAACCGACAGCCAAACGAAACGGTTCAATGGATTACTAGAAGAATACTTGAGGCACTTTGTTCAAGCCAATCAAAAGAACTGGCCTTCATTATTGGACGTTGCTCAACTCTGCTTTAATTCTAACAAAAGCTCTTCCACCAGCAAGAGCCCATTTGAGGTGGTCACGGGACAGTTACCAAGGCTACCCCACACTTTCTTGGAATAATATGGAGGAAAGAATCCGAGAGCCTTCAACCTCGGCAAGGAGTGAAAGAAAACACGAAGATTACACAAGCCTACTTGGAGAAAGCATTGAAGCGAATGAAGAAATGGGTAGACAAAGGTCGCGGGCCCAACAATTCCAAGCCGGTGATTTGGCTCTTGTTCGACTAGTCCTTGAACAAACCAGGTTCTTGAGGCAGAGAGATTGTAGACTGGTGCGCAAATATGAGGGTCCAGTGAAAATCTTTTTCAAAGTGGGGAGTGCTTCTTACAAAATTGACCCACCAAAGTGGATGAAAGTGCACCCAATATTTCATGTGAGTAACCTGAAACCTTTCCATGTAGACCTTACAGATGCTAGCCGAAGAGAGCCAACTAGAGCCGTCATCACCATGAAACCACCCTTAGAGCGTCGAGTCGAAGAGATCTTAACCGACAGGGAAACCAAGTATTCTCGAAAACTTGTTCGAGAATACTTAGTGAAGTGGGAGGGATTAAGACTAGAAGAAACCAGCTGGGAAAGAGAGCACGACCTCCAGAGATTCAACAGAAAGATCGAAGAGTTTCAAGCCAGCAAGTCGACGAGGACGTCGATAGAATAGGTGAGGGAGGATGTCATGAGCCAACCTTGTGTAGGGCCATGACCGGGGCTTAGGTTGTCATGAGCCACCCATGTATAGGGCCATGACCGGGTAGAACTCTTGTGCTAGGAAAAGTGTCCCCATTTCAAACATTGTAATGGTTACCTGTCACATAGCTCTAAAATCTCTAAGGCTCTTTAGGGGGTGAATGACGGTACGCTCTAAAATCTCTAAACTGTCGGGCTATCTCACCAGTTGTTATGCGGGCCTAGGTCATCCACCAAAGGTTGCCCTTCCTGGCTCTGGTGATAGTGGGAAATCCTGATGTATGGTTCTTGATTATAATAAAATTTACTCCGATTGAATGTCTCGAATGTTACCTCGATGTGTTTTTTTTTCTCGATGTGAATGTGTCTTCTTGTGTGTGCTTGAGATTGATCTCGATATAATGTGTCTTATTGTGAATGCTTGGGACTAATCATGACTTATAATTATTTGTTCAGATATCGAACCATTGAAGGCTGACTTGTGTGGAAGCGTCTATTCAAGTGCCACACAATTTATTGCTTGTTGAGAGAAAGCTTAGTCCGTGACATTCCTCCTGCTTCTGCTCTCAGCCCTGGACTATATATCACCGCCAAATTATCAATACGTATCCGTGTAAAATTGGATAATAAATAAGCACCTTCCCTTGGTTACGTTCATAATATGTGTGAAATTGCAAATTAATTAATTAATGTCGACTGATTGAAATTCATTTGTTTCAATTGCGACCACGATTTCAAATCATCATTCACTTCTCATGTCCATGTCATTTTCAAAAAAAATTCACAAGTTATAAAAAAAAATTATAAACATATCAACAATCAACAAATCAACTACTCAAACTCATAACTCAAATCTTAAACATATATAATCAATCTCAATCTTACAAGTACAACAATTACTCCCAAATCATAACATATTTATGAGCATTTCCACTCGATCCCTAATAATATTAATCGTAACATTCAAAAATACATATTTATAAATACTTTTTTTCTTAACCCCAAAAGATATTTATAATTCTAGTAAATTTACCATTAAGTAAACTTCGATCATCAAACAATACATTTAATGAATCCAAAAATATAACTCGAAAATATCTTTTATCAAACTATTTTTGAGATCGGAGTCAATATTTTCAATATTTTCAACTTTCAAAACGAAACACTATAAATCTTATAAATATAAGCATATACCCACATGGGCACTAAAAAAACTCAAAAATTATTAACCAAATAAAAAAATTAATTGCCAAATAACTTTTTATGAAAAGCAATTCTTAGTAAACATTATTAAAATTTAAGTAAAAAAAAACCCCAACAAAATCTTATATGGTGATTTAGTATTTAATAAGCGAAACTTTATCTTGAAACCTTCATAGGAGGTTTTGAATCCTTGAATGTGGAGTTAAGAGTCTGAGAGTAACCGCATGACTAAATGCAAGATTCATATTATTGGTCTTGAGTGATAAAACATAATCTTTAACCACATTTTCTTTAATTCATTATTTTAATTAATCATCTCTTGAAAGAGCAATTATATGATGTTGCTAGCATTAGTTTCGTAGGTAATTTTAGAGCATATAGAATAAGGAAATTAGAGCTGCAAAGGAAGTTACAGTAATTTTTCTGAGTTTTGATCATAATGACCAACTTTAAACACGCAATGGTTGAGTTTCAATTATTTTATGCTAAAAACAAGGCTTTTCGCCGTTAAACGCCACCATATAGAGGTGGTACAAGAGACGGAGAGGGAAAAAACAGCACCCACGGTTGGATGTCGTTCACCACAAAGTAAGCAACAAACAAACCATTTCAGTTCTTAAGCAAGAAAAGAGAAAAGGTAAGAAATCTAGCCAAATCTTTACTTTGGATCTAATGTCTGTATCCCATGGCGCTTGAAGAATTCTCTAAATCCATAAGCACTGAGATCATAATTGAACTGGATAAAGTAGAAGAAAACAGATAAGAATATCAGCAAATGCACAAAAGAAAAAAAAAAAAAAACTGCTAGATCATTGAGTTACCCTTATTGTCATGAAACCAAGTGACTGACATATGAAATTAACAATGCTTATGCATAACCTATTTGACATAGGGAATGCCCATGAGCCTACTATACGAAAAGCACTATATAAGAATCTCAGCTTGCAGTATCTATACGTATATATAAACAGAAGACATATCAGAAATTTTGCCTAAACTGTGTTTGCAGAGGGAAATATATTGGTGCAAAGCTAAAAATGTAAGAACAGCTGAAGGCACCTTCAATGCTATTAAATTGATAACAAATTTTCAGGGGAAAAGGCTCCAAAACTCACAGGTAGAACTTTTACAGAATATCTTGTAATATTCGGATCAGCAACCCTCCTTCGTTGGCTGCCTGAAACAGAATTTCACATTAAATACTAACTCAGTAAACTTGCCATCATACATGGCAACATTTCAACATCAATATCTCAATCACATTTTGTTCAATAGCCACAAGATTGAATTAACAGATTTGGAATTTCACATTTGCTTTAATTTGGAAGTTAGAAGAATGATGAGACCACTAAAGAAAGCTCACTGAAAAAACAACTTCCCATACTGACTCTATTGTTGTCACTAAAATCATATAGCAGTCCCTTTGCCTTCTTTCTTTTGTGTTATTTCCCTCATCACCACACTCCCAAGTTTATACTTCATTTCTCTCACAACAATATAACCAAAAAGAGAACATGTAGGAGCGTTCATTCAGTAACTCACAGTTAATCTGTTTCTTATCTTTCCATTTTTTGCTATATTTAATTTTAACTGATAAGTTATTTGTATTGATCGTCATCCGCAAGGCTGCAAACCTAGCACATGAGATTTTCATGCAAAACCTCCACAAGCAATGACGTTTTCAAGGACCAAACCACAATGATTTGAGTAACGTGCTCTGATTCTACAAAGGTCTACTAGTTATAAGTAGTCATAGCTTAATCAATAGTACCAAATTAGTAGAAAGTGCAGACAGTTATTATTCTTGAGAAAGTTATCATAATTTTAGAAACTGTTATACTTATGCATGTTATGGAAAACTCATGCAAGCCCCAAACCACTGCCAAGTTGTCATTAATCTTGGTATTCTGCTACCAGATAATGACAAATTATGCAACGGATCAAAGCAAGGCAATAGCAGTAGAAGGATAAAATAGAAATAAAGATAAGTCACATGCTTGTTCTGGACTATGAAATATTTCAATGAATGGATAGTCCTGTTTCTGCCGCGTTATACAAAACCCTGGGTATTTTGGGCACTCAACCTGGAAAAGAAAATTAGAAGTTATTAGATTGTGAGGGTAAGAAAAGAATAGAGAAACTAAATAACAGTAAGTTAGCACAAATTCTGTCGCCACATCATAGATGCAATGACAAAAATGTGGACTGTTATATGGTGCAATGGTAGGTTTGGTACAAAAAAAGATCTTTGGACTTGGGCTGGATGACGGGACGTAACCATTTCCCATTCCATATACCCTATCGCCCTTCCCCAAGGATTGAATCCAAGCCTCCAAGTTGATAGTAGCAGTTAGGATATCCTCTTGCGGTTGAACAAGAGTTTGTAGTAAAAACAGCCACTTTATGCTTAAAATGCTAAAATTACAAGCATACACTCATGCTAACTGACATCCACTCTAGGACCATGCTTTGATTAGACTATAATAATGTAATGAGCAATGACCCTTTCATTTAGACACTATCAGAAGAAAAAAAATTTACACGCATAAATTTAACATTTGGATAAAACTCAGCAGCAGCTTCCTCCAGCACTCTATCAAGATGCATTGTGTAGTTCCCCCTGCATTATTAAAACAAAGGCATAAAGGGTCAGATAGAATTCAGGGAATATACAGGTGGAAAAGGGAGGGATTTCAATTTCAAGTGACCTGATAGTGAATGCAACAACAACCGGGTGGCCTTGATGAAGGAGCTGGACAAATTCACGCTCGGATGTAAAATGAATAACCCGTGATGGCCCTAGATCTTTTGGATAACCAGTATAATACCTTGAATTTTAACAAGTAAAAGAGGTGAACAGAAATACTCAATCAAGCAACATTCTTATCAATACAATACATGATTAAAAGTTGATAAAAATAAAAATAAAAGTGTTACTGAAAGTAATATAACTGCATTATTATCTACAACAGTTAAGATAAATGAATAATGGTCTTACTTGCAAGTTGAACGGAGATGAGTAATCATTCTATCAAAAAACGATTGCTCCTCCATTTTTAAACAGCAGAGTCAGTTTGAATCAATAACCCAAGTCTTAAATCATTCCCAAAGATGTATTTTTGGCATAGTCCTGTCAAAAGCAGGTGGTATAAAGTGTTAAAAAGTGAGCAAATTTCACAAAATCAATAAGTTTCAATTGCTTCAAACAAGAACAGAAAAAAAAACAAATATAATATGCAGGACGATGAAAATGGAAAAGTACCTAAATTGTCAGTGCAAGACCAGAGAGATATGATCTAGCGAAGAAGAAGACAAGAAAACAAACCAGGGTGTGGAGACTGGAGAGGGAGGCAACGGAGGGATTGAAAGGGAACGAAGAAAGGGTTAACTCGGCTGGGTTTGGTTTGGGCTATTTGTAATAATAACAAATATTGAAACAGCCAACTTGGGCTATCAGACAGGGCTGGCTACCTACCATCATCTGTGGGCCACCATATATCTGGGCTACACCACATGTATACTCCTGTTGGCCCTATAACTCATCCATAAAACACCAAAAAATGAATTTAGCCTAAAGACTCTTTATTGGTTTTTTATTCCGTTTCCTAACTGTGATGGTTATTGATCAGGTCTCAAAAGGAAAAGGCATCGGGGGATGCTGAAACCATTTAATTTTCTCTTTGGTCCAACATTGGGGAAAAGATTTTTAACTTTTTAATCCCCAACTTAAGCTTTTCCAAACCTATCCTGGAGAAAGAACATGTGTGGATGCATGTGTGTTCGACGCAGAAGGACTTTACTGCTAATTAATAGTGATAATTATGAATCAAAAACCTTGTGTTTGAAGTTAAGTCATATTAAAATTTGAAGGCAAGAGGAATTTAAAATTATCCTTTTTTTTTTTTGAAAAATTGTTGGTTTGCTGCAAATTACGGTTCGAAAAAATCTTTGATGATTGATCTGCGACTGCAAGGTTCAGAGGCTGTGGGCTGTGAGCTAATTGTGTGTGAAAATCGATGGGGAAGGAAGGAAGCGGAGGCCGGAGAACTTGATCAGAAGAGGCCGAGAGGGGAGGATTTGGCACCACAGTACAAGTGATTCAATCAAAGACTTTAATGCTTTTCATTGTAGCCGTTAACTATTACATATCAGAATATTTTGTAGTTTGTACTATTTCCTCAAAAATTCACAGAGAGATATGTCTTGTTGTTCACATTTATTGGTTCTCAATGAGAGCATTTAGTTCTTTAGGTTTTTAGATTACCCTAACCTAATCCTCAATTTAACAGTTGAAATTTATTACAATGGCACGGTCACGGGCCAAAATGTTCAATCTCTTGGGGCCACATATAAATGTGGTTTTTTTTTTTTAATTTTCCTTAGTAAATTCAAATATTAATGATAGTCTGACATAAATAATGAAATAAAATATGATCATATTTTATTTTACTTAAATCAATTTTAAAAAAAATTCAAAAGTTAATAAGTTGCTTTAATCTCTAAACTAATGCAATGTGTAAGTTTTAAAAAGTTTCATTGATTGCATTCAAAATTAGTATTGATAAAAGATTGCTAATGAGATTTGAATTTAAATATTTCAAAAGAGCGAGTTTAATCAATTAAACAAATTAATCCAATATATTATAGAACATAAACATTCTATTCTAAATTTACTTTAAATAATTACGACAAAGGGTGATATATTGCATTCAATAGCGCATGGGCCAATTTGCTGTGGAATGACGTAAGACCTCTGATAAATCTAGCAGAAACATTTAGTAAGGCTCTGATCAGAAGCGTGGCGTGAGATACTGGGAATTGGGCCTTGTCACTGCTTTGATATCAGTGAATGATTCTGTTGCAGCCGCTGTCCTAGATATTGTTATGGCCTTCTGAGTACAATCCAATTGGTCTCCACCTAAAGAGAACCAATGCTAACTGATGCCCTTTGAGACCTTGATGGCGATACATATCGATGTTGATATTTGATAGTAGCGTGGCACAAAATTGAATGAACTTACTTTCTATTGGTTGTAAAGTGAAAGCTTTTATGCCATTTCCACCGAACAAAATCTCACCAAACCCTAATTATATCGAAACTTTTTGGGTGGAAAAGATCTGGATAACTCTAAACTTAAACATCCAAATTACGATTAAGTGAACAAGAGATACTTAATTCGAAAATTACAAAATATTAAAAATTTAATTGATCACTTTAAAGATTCAAAAGAAAGTGTCGGCCATATGAATAGAGGCTGCTGGATAATTACAACTTTGAGGATAATAAAATTTCAACAACTGACATGGACAACTTTAATTCTTTTACCTAGAGATAGATTTGAATCTGACTATATCTGATTATCCTTTTACGCAGAGGCGAAGTAAGATAAAAGATAAAAAGGTAATCAAACAGTGAAGTTAATAAAAAAAAAATAGGATCGATTCTGAGGTTAGATGGATTAAGTTATTACACTACAATGGTGTAAAAAAATTTAGAGAGCGCCATGACCAGACCTATCCCTTTGGAATTGCCTCTACTTTTAAGCAATTGTAGTACTGGTAGTTGTGATAGTTATGGTATATATAGACAATTAAATTTAGGCCTGCATGCCTCTCTATGGGAACCCTTGTTTTCGTTGTTTGATGAAAGAAATTCACGACCCAGAGGGCCAGAACTGCAGTACTTAGAAATTAATAAGCAGAATTGCAGTACTTAGAAATTAATAAGAACTGTTTTATTAATAACAAGTCAGAAGGGATAAAATGTAACCCAAATTAGTCCAACCATGTCAATGTGTCACGTGCTTTGGTCTTAAGTCTAGAATGCATGCATGCACTTGTAATAATGTTAGTTTTGGTTTGTGAAAATTTAATTTGGTGGTGGGGGATGTGTGATGTCTTTCGTGTGCATGTTGAAATCCAAACACTTAAACTTTTCGGTAATATAGCAATGGCAAATATCATTGATGGATATGCTTTTCACTGTCAATTTAAGTAGCAAAGGATTAAATATTGTTGAGCAATTTTTACCCTAATATTGGGATATGCAAGGTAAAGAGGACTGTCCTTTCAAGACTTTGGACCCCTCACTTCTGAGGCTTCCTAATTAATGTATTAATTAATGTCTAAGATTATATTTGTTGGATTGTTTCACTTTTCAAGCCTACTGATTAATGTAATGAATAAGTTTATAAATTTTACATATTATTATTAGTGATTTAGATGATGTCATAATATTAATGAGAATTTTTTTAAAAATTTTAAGTTTTTACGTATTTATTTTAAAAGTTAATAAAAATTTATGTTTAATTATGAAAAAATATCATTTTATTCACATGTGATAGTATATAAATTAAATTTTGTACCCTTAGAATCTAGATGCATGGATCTGATAATGCTGAATCAACTTTCACGTTCACTTGTCCCCCACCTCTAACAATTATCTTTCCAGACTCTCCTGTATTTCTTTCGGCAGTATATATACTTGCTTATGCATCAATAAAATAAAACACTTATTTGTAGTTTGCTGAGCATAATTATTGGCTACAAATGGCACGGTCGACTGGTTGCTCCAAGAATACGCTGTTGAAGAAAGGGCCATGGACTCCAGATGAAGACCAGAAGCTCTTGGCTTATATAGAGGAACATGGCTTTGGGAACTGGCGTACCTTGCCTGAAAAAGCCGGTGATGATTCTCAATTTCTTTATATATATATATGAAGATATCATGATTGAACTCCGTGCCTTAAAAGAGCTTTTTCTTATTCATTTTTGCATTGTGGTGTACTGTAAATTAAAGGGCTTCAAAGATGTGGGAAGAGCTGCAGACTGAGGTGGAACAATTACCTGAGGCCTGATGTCAAGAGGGGAAAGTTCAGTTTACATGAAGAACAAACCATCATTCGACTCCATGCTTTTCTTGGAAACAGGTGAAAAACAAACTAAATTTAGGTTTATTACTCCATTTTTTTTTCGATATTTGAAGACGTGAGGATTTGAATATCATCGCTCCATTGGCCCAAAAAAAACCCACGACTGTAAATTTAGGTTGAAGAAGCATGTACTACAAGATAGGAAATGCATGCATTCAATTCTTTCCTCTTGTCTGATTATTTCTAACAATTTACCAATTTGTCTAGGTGGTCTACCATAGCAGCTCACTTACCTAAGCGAACTGACAATGAGATTAAAAACTACTGGAACACACATATTAAGAAACGGTTTACCAAGATGGGGATTGATCCCACCACCCATAAGCCCAAATCAAACCTGCTCAGTTCCACCGGTCGAAACACTCGCACACTCAGCCACATGGCTCAATGGGAGAGGGCTCGGCTCGAAGCAGAAGCCAGACTGGTCAGAGAGTCAAAAAAACTAGTGTCAACACAAAATAATAAGCCAAGCTTGTCAGCTAGAGTAGTGAAAAGTAGCAAAGCCACAGCTTCATCGACTAGATCACCGTGCCTCGACGTACTTAAAGCATGGCAAAGCGTAGTTGCAGGCATGTTCGCTATCTCCACTAACAATCTTGAGCCTCCACCGTCAACATTCGTGAACAACTCGATCCCCATCGTGGTCGGATGCCACGAAAGCTCAGCAAACGAGCTTGATCTAGCAAGGACTGGTTCAGTTACATGCATCGGAGGATTTGCTCAAGACGAGTTAATGTTGGACGACGACAGATCAAATTACCAAGTACCAGAATTAAATGAAAGGTTTGATTACTCGATGTCTTTGCATGATACGACATATCATTGGACTGCTGCAACAGGAAACATCGTAGAAGATTTTTCGGATATCTCGGTGCATGATTTTGATTACCCGATCCAACAGGGGGATATCCATTGAAAAGAAATCAAACATTTATTAGGGAATGTATAGAAGAAAAATGGCTGAATAGTTTTGGGAGTGGGAAGTGTAACGGGAGATCGATGTTGGAAAAGTAAATAAAATATTGTAAGATAATAAGGTATTAGGGTTTGAGCCATGAATCATTATGCTGTTTGTCTATTTCTATTTATTTTTTCTAACTTAATTGTATCAAAGTAGAAAACTATTTGGAAGAGCATATTCTTGTTTTAACCAAGATAAATGTTAATATCAAAATAAACTAAAGTAATGTTTGATGCATAAGATTAAATATAAACTAGGATAATAATTATCTTATATTATATTTTATTTGTATCTAAAAAGAGGGATAATGATTATAAGGAGGATTAATATCTTTTTGACATAAGATTATTTAATTCTCCTTAATTTGAGAGAATTATTTTTAATCCATAAGATTAAATTTATATGTCCAATTATACATTTAAAAATTATATCAATAATTTAAATTATCTAAGTTTTGAGAAAAGATGATTTTGACAAATAAATAAATTATCTTATTATAATTTTTACATACATTAAACACAAAATATGATTATATTATTTAATCTAATCCTATTTATAATATCATCTTATTCTATCATATCATAATCTAATGTACTAAACATGATCTAATAGCATATTCTTGTTTTAACCAAGATAAATGTTAATATCAAAATAAACTAAGTAGTTACAATAGTAAAAGTTAGTGAAAATTTATTTAATTCGATCTTTTTTTATAAAAGAAGTCATAGATTTGAGATAACAAATACATAAATATTAAAATTTGAATCTCATACCTGATAAATGCATTATATTTTAAATATAATTGTATGAATTAAACGCTATGATCATTTAACTTGAGTTATTTAATTGAAAATATATTGATGAAAATTTTCATTTGAATCAAATAAATGGCATGGTCAAGGTGAATGAGAATGAGCATTCCAACTTACTAATTACTATTTTATTCAAGCAAAATTAACAAATGTAGATCTTCTACATCAAAAAATCTTGTATAATTATAAAAAAGATCATTGATTCATTTAAACATAGAAAAATTATTATATTAAAGAATACTGAAGTAGATTATCATAACAAAAGATGTGGCTCAAAAAAGGTTAAACCATCAGCTCGACATCATGCTAGGAGGACACTTAATCTTAAGTATCGGCTATTTCATGTATATTTTTTTGCATAAAAAAAAAAGAAAAAAATATAATGTTGACCAAAGAAATAAGAAATAAAAAACACTGGAATGAAGCCCAAATTCATATAAAATCTTCTGAAGCCCAACCCAAATAGAATTTGTCTCATTAACAACGGCGTCGTTTTAATGAAAACTCCTTCCAGTCTCTTTAAACGGAGGATACCTAGACGGAGTTGGCTCCCCGCTACTTTCCATCCAAAAATGGCGTCGAGACTGGCGATTCTAAAACGCACCACCGCAGACTCTGGTTCATTCTTGGGGCTGAGGAGATGGCTCCATGCTTCAGCACTCCCTCCACCGTTGGATGCTTCCATCGGTCAGCCCACAGTATCACAACCGTTTGTTTTGCCCGAGTCTGATCAAATCCCAGACAGCAATAGTAACAACAACATCGTATTCGGGTTTGGCTTCCTAAGTTTCCCCTTTGGAGGATCCATGGAGCTCATGGCTGTCCCAAAGAAGAAAGTAAGGATTTTTTTGTAGTTTTATATATTCATTCAGTTATATATGGTCTTACAACACAAAGGTTTTTCAAGTGGAAAAGTTTATATTTTTAAGTTTTCTTTATTTTGTAGGTGAGTCGCCATAAGAGAGGCATAAGAAATGGACCCAGGGCTTTGAAACCTGTTCCGGTGATTATTAGATGCAAGTAAGTGTTTTTGATTCATCAATTTTTGTTTCATATTTGTCTTGGTAATTGCTTGGATTAGTAGTGAACATTGTTTGGCTTAGTTGTTGTTATTATTATTTGTTTTCTTCAAACTGATGAGAGCTTTGTGTTTACAATGGTTCTATAGCAGTAGATGTTCATCATTTTTGTAAAAATGTTCAATTTTTGCATATCAGGGACATTCTTGCTACTTTTGTTCTATGCTTTAGAAACCTTGGTGTAATAAACCTTGTAGTGAATTTATGACTTGCTCCTTAAAGCCTGTTAAATGGTTTGTAGCAGGCTATCAGCTTAGAGTGGGAAAACAAATTTAGCTATCCTTAATAGGAATGGCAAAGCGCTGATTATTAGAGCTTTGGCATCCAAATGTTTTATTTCACTCTTCTTCCTCCCATATGCACATTGACATGGATTACATATTTACAAATGCCGGGAATGCATGATAAGAAAATGATAATGCAAGGTCAAACCCTGTAAATCTCTTTAAAACTGAACAAAGGGATGGAATTGATTGGAATATTCTGACAGGATTTTTCTTACGCTATAAAACATGTGCCCTTCATGACCTTCCTACAAACAAATAAATTGTCATAGGTAAAATCAACATATTTGTAATTACAATCCATTGCTTTATTGCAGGAGCTGTGGTCGTGTTAAGTTGCCACACTTCTTCTGTTGCAGTGGAGATCGGGGACAGACTAGCGAGCATGGTGATTCATCCAGTTAAGCATGTCTTCTGTTGGTGGACTAACAGAGATAAATAAGTAGTTTTTCATTTTTGTAAGTAAAACTTCGTATGGATGTCATTTATCCAAATTTTCTTGTTGAAATCTAGATTGTTCTAAGATTGATCCTTATCAATTAATATATTTTGCTTTGTGACTATGTTAATGGTGCATCTGGTGCTGTTGACAGATTCAATCATAAAGTAAGGTAGAAAGCTTCTTTACAAATTAAGCACCTAGATTGATGCAAGATAACTGAAAAATGATAATATAGCTAGTTTGTTTCATGGAATTACATAACAAGATTGTGTTCTTCATCTACTACAAAGGCTTTCTATTTCTCCTAACCATACAAGGTTGTGTCTTTTCATGGAAAATTGTATTGTAAGAATGGAGTAATAATAATCGGAGACAGGCTGAAAATTACTTGTATTTTTAGAGGCCATCCTTGTTCATTTTTTCATCAGTTTAGTCAGGTTAGTCAATGAACACTTGAACAATGTTGGAAAGTACCGAACATTCAAATCAGTTCTCCTACCTTTCATTATCAATGATGAGTTTTCAAATAAGGGATTAAGCACCTTCAGGATCTCCAACCAGAGAATTTTAGAACCAGGCAAGGCAAATCGAAATCCAATTATTGGAAGGCAATCTTGCAGCGGTAAGAATCTTCGGAAGTCTCCAGCAACTGGATTTAGAACATGTTGCACATCACAGGTTCAAAAATGTAGGTAATGCTGATGTAAAAAAGCATTGGCTGACTAGAAGAAAAGCATCTAATGTAGGTAGCTATGGTTGGTCGCTAATGGCTTTTACCCACCAAAATCACAGCATCAGCTTAACTTCAGATTGGTTAGCTTTTAGTAAAATTATGTATCATGAGCAACTTAAGGTCATGAATGAAGAGGAACATAATTGTATCTTTTAGTAAAATAAAAAGATTACAGAAGACCTTTAACTATGAGGCGTTTGCTCTAATTCTAGGACACACACAAAACATAAATGGTTGATGTCATAAGACCAACATAATTCTCGTATAATCGCCAATAGAGGTTAGTGTAAGTGATTAAAGTTTAAGGTTTGGATGCAAGGTACCTATTAAAGTTTAGGATCTGAATGCAAAGCACCTAGGTTCGAACCCTCACGATGCTCTATTAATAGACAATCTATAAATCCCAAAAATTCCCATGAAAAAAAAAATCCCTAAATTTCCTTGTGGGTGGCGGCAGTTTTCCCTGGCTTTGAAGACTCCTTAATTGTCGTATAATAATAAAATAGGGGAGATGACAATGGTCTAAGTTAAGCCCGAAATGGTTTGGGTCGGACCGCCCAATTACAAATAGAAAAGTCCGTTTTTGTTAAGAAGAGGGCCCAATTACAAACAGAATAGTCCTTTTTTGTTAAGAAAGGGAAATAAAATAAAACTCCAGAAAAAGGAACAAATTTCCCGCAGGGTTTTAGGAGGTTTTAAGCTGCCGTTGGCATCTTCCCTTCAACAACAAACCCTTAGCGTTAGCGATTCACACAACTCTAACTCGCCCTCTAACTCACCAATTCCATACGATTCAAACTCATCGAACCTACCATGTCGTCTCTAAACCCTGAACCCACCGATCCCCAAACCCCAACAAACCCTCCAGTTTCGTCCTTTACCGAAAACCCAAACCCGGTCGACCCTGATCAACCCAACCGCGAGTCTTCGAATTCAGGAGGAGGAGAAGAAGTAGAAGGAGGGGAAGGAGAAGAGGAAGAAGGAGAGTGTGGGTTTTGCTTGTTCATGAAAGCGGGTGGTTGCAAAGAAAGCTTTGTAGCTTGGGAAACGTGCGTGGATGAAGCCGAGAAGAAAGGGGACGATATTGCCATGAAATGTATGGAAGCAACTGCGGCTTTGAAGAAGTGCATGGAGGCTCACGCCGATTACTATGAGCCGATACTAAAAGCAGAGAAGGCTGCCCATGAAGAAGCCATTAGGGAGTTAGAAAAAGAAAAGGCTGCTAAAGATTCTGAGGAAAATTTGGAACCCAAGGAGGATTCGAAGAAAAATTGAGGTGGTTGCTTTTTTTTGGTAGATATAATTGTTGTTTTAAGTTATAAATTGGGCCAATTTGATCACAAAGGAGGGTACTCCTTTGGGCACTGATTTATTTTTTTATTAAAGGATGTTGAAATTGAGGAAAAGTTAAAATCACCAGAAATGAAAAATAATTTGACTTTGAGTTATCTTTGCTTGTTGTATTTTAGACTTGCTGGTTGATTTATGTGATTTAGTAACTTTGAAATTTTCTATGTTGCAAATGATCTTTGAGGTTTGCTGTGATTAGTCGCTGGTTGGTTCAAGTTTTGCACCGAGAATTGTTTTAAAGAACAATCTTTCATCATGCACTGGGTAGTCAATAATCCTTTCATAGTTTTTGAAGAACACTTTTTATTTCATTCTTCAGTTACTTGAAAATAGTTAATGAATCTGAATTTGATCACCTTTCAAGAACTGAATTGAATGGAGAGGTTTTTTGAGAGTTTTCCGAGAATTGGCGCTATGCAAATCTCCAGCTATGCTGAGGTTTGTCTTGTTTATTCAAATGCAATCTAATTCAAGTTAGCTTACTGTTGCATTTAATCTTCAGATGCATATTTGTTTGAATTGGATTGTGGATTGTGATTGTACCCTAACATTCCTATTTCACAAATCTTTAGTATTAGAATTGTAAATTCCTTTTCCGTGATTTGAACCCCTAAAAGAGAAGAAATCCTTTTCCATGAGGAAGTAAGATTAAGTTGACTGATTATTTATGTTAAAGCAGTGCTATTACCTCCATTCTACAAACTGTCTGCAACAGAAAAGACCCAGCTGTGATGTTTACCATATTGGTAGGCTTTCTGTTTCCGTTGATTATTTTATGTATGGATTGGTTAAAATCAAGACATCTATGGAAGTAAGCATGTTAAGTGGATGTAGTTTCTGCAGTGGATATTTGGATAATTGCAGCTCCCGCTACAAGTATCATATGCTATATGTATTTTCTATTTTGATTTTTCTTTCGTATGCTTTGGAATGGGGATCTTAGCCAGTCAGAGAGACTTAAGAAGTACATATAAGATTAAATACAACTTGCTCCAGTTAAGCTTTGTTGTCTAGATTTTTTTTGGATAATTGATAATTGAAAATTGTATTCAAAATCCAAAAAAAAAGAAAGCAGATACTAGTCTGCTGTATGTGAAGTATAATAAGGGTATAACTTACACAAATTTTAGCTATGGCTTATACTTCCACTGTTCACACAGGTTTTTATTTACGGCACTATCGCATACATTAGAAACAATACCATATCTTTGAGATTTTATATAGTTGATCACTTCCACCTATTACAATTTCTTTGCAGTTTGCTCTCTTTAGAATCATATGCGATCTGTTTTTTGAATTTTTGTTTTCATTATTTGATGATTCTAAATATGATCCTTGTGTCCTTATATCCACAAGGACAATGTACCTGGCTCTAATGCGAAGCGGGCAGGTTTCCAAATCTGATCCAATTACAATATAACCAGCTCTAATCCAGGGCAGAGCAGGTTTTAAAATCTTTTCCCCCTAATTCTTTCCCGACACATTCTTTCGCTCTATCATATGGGGTTTTGGATCTACAAGCTTACAGATAATGATGGTCTACAAATGACAAAACTTTAGTTGCACCACAAAAACTAAAGACAATAAAGCTAAAAACTATTCATGCAACAGCTGACTAATGGATATTATTTTCTTCAATAAGGCGCTGCCCATCAAAATCTTGTTTTCCAATAGGATTTGCTTAAATGACTGGCTTTCTAGTTGAATAGAAATTAAACAGGGTCTTACTACATTTGGGAGATGTAGATGTCAGGTCGGCAAGTTTATCCAGACATCAAATCCTATTGCAAGTATTGAGAAGAGATGGGGAACTATGCTATTTTGTGGCCTAGCTAATTGAATATTTACAAATGAAATTATTGAAGTTAGATTTTTTTAACTTTGAATCAAATCTTCAAAAAATGTTCTCATATTATATAAAATCTTAGTCGTTTTCTATATGGAAGCACCATGTTTTATTGCAGTGATGACTTTCCCTGTTCCATTTGGTTCAAACTAGTATGTTTTTGACATTTTTATTACATTTAAAGCTGAGGAAGCACAGAGGAAAGTGAACCACTCAATTACTAATTAATCTAATTCTACTGCAAAAACATCTGATAAATTCATGTACAACAAAACATTTGACCCCAAAATTTTAAAATATTGGACAAGAACATCTACAAGACTACAACTAATTTTTTATTACCACTTCAAAATTATTATTTGAGTTTGAAAATTTTATTGTTGAATTTAAACAACCTATTATCACAGAGTTAGAAGTAAAATCAAACTTCAAGAAACGTCAACAGACAATAAAATCAAAAGCAACTTAGTTAATGATAAAAAGTTTGCTCTCGACATTTTTGTTTCTTTATCTATTTATATCCGTGAAACAATGATTTTTTCCCTTTGATTTCCTTTCTTATTACTGCTAGTTCACTATTCACATAAAGAACTTTCAGTTTTTTTTTTCCTTTTATAAAAAGCAACAACTAGGATTTGCGGTGTGAATGTGAAATTGGAAATAGAACGGAAGGGGCAGTGAAAGAGGAGAGGGACATGTCATTTTGACTTTCATTTGCAGGGGGTTTGAAAGTTAAACCTTTTGACATGATGAAACAGTAACATTTACGATCACCTGGAAATATTCCTGTTGGGGCATGTAGTGGTTCGACATACTCAATATCATATCAATTTAATTTTTATTATCCCTTAATGATCTTTTATCATTTATTTATAAATATAATTGTTTAAGCAGCATTAAAATAAATTTATTTTACTTTGAATTCTTCTTATGATTCTTTATTTATTTTGATTTACGTGTTAAAATGTAATTACAAAAACTATTCTCTTTCATTAACTTTTAATCATTCTTTTTTTTTAATTTTTTCAAAAATACCCTAAAATTAAAATTTGGTGCAAACAATTCTGTTCATGAGAAGAAAGAAACCATGGTTGACCTCTGAAACCTTTGGTTTTGATCCAAAAAAACAAAATACTTTCTTTTTCAATGAGTACCTAAAAAAATCAGAGGCTTTCTTTTGAATATTCTGGCAAAGTACCCCTCGGTTTAAACTATTCTTAGTCGACTATTGCACATTTCTGTACGGTTCATTGATATGTCACATATTGGTCAGAAAAAAAATCATTAAAAAATCCAAGTTTTTTATTTGTAAAGATATATATTTTTTCTATGTTGCAGTGAATGAACAATGTTAATTTCCCCACTCATGAGACAGTCCAATAATAATAATTTATAAAAATTGAAGATGTGAAATTGTCACTAATCAATGATTGATTAGTATACCGTAAGAAATAAAAAATCAAAATGATTGAATTTCATCTCATATTAATAATATGTATAATAATGACTTATTAGGAGATCAATGATTGAAGCTACCTTAGATTTTTTTTTTTGTTAGGTATGGATTGTGAAAACCAAACAACATAACATGGAAATCAATGAATTAATAAAAGAAGTTTATGGAAGCTGAATTTTCAAGAAAACAATTTTGTTTTTTTTTTTCTTAATACTTCACCATTGATATACAAAAAGGACTACTAATATTTTTTATTGTAATATTTTATTTATATGTTTATAAAATTATCTAATCTTAAATATTTATTAATTTTCTTTCCGGATGATTAAATTTAAACTATATTAATTCTATATATTCTATGTAAATTTAAGGAGAAAAAAAGTGTTGTTGATATTTTTTCTTATAAAACATAGGAAATGTTGGTAAGCGCCTTATTAGCGCTAATTACGATGATATTTAAGGAAAAAACTAATGCATTAAGTTTATTTTTGAATTTAATGAAAATAATTATTAAATATTTTTAAAAAATATATATATTTTAACTATTCTTAAGTGATAATTATAAAGCTAATTAATAGGACACATAAAACAAAGGGATAGCAAGAGAGTTGAGGGTTGAGACTAACTTTATGGACTGCTATGTCGGCAACTAAAAGGGGTTCTAAAACAATTTTAAAATAAATCTGTATTACGGGTCTCTCGCCGTTGTGCGTTGCCCCTAGACATAAAATCCCCTCGACCCAATTGCCCTTTTTAGGTCAATTATTCTGATCCCTTCGAAGGGCTGTCTAGCGGCTCTAAGTGATTCTGATCCCTTCAAAGGGCTGTCGGGCGGCTCTATGTCTCTAACATTCAAAGTTGAGGAGAAACGTGTGTGTGGAAGAAACCAATAAAGGTTTTTCACCAATACTTAGCCCGTGTCCAACGCTGTGGAAATGGCTCAACTAAATCACGTGTATTGTATAATATATATAAAAGGGATATTTACGATCGTATAAGAATTATACAATTTTTAAAAAAATTTTGAATTAAAATTAAATTGATAATATTTATATTTAATTATTTTAATTCAAAAATAAAAAATATAACATTCATAGTAAGAAATTTTTTTACTCATGTATATGTTAAACTAAAACTTGATGAATTCTATTTCTGCATTGGTTTGAAATTTGAAGTTTCAACATTTCAAGAATGCCAACATCAAAATTCGTTGACCATCAACCACACTCCAAATCAGGTAACGCCCCCATCTCTATCAAATCATCTGAATCTCGCCTTCTTTGGGTTATATGTTTTAATGTGTAGCAGATGAAGGCTGAGGGCATCAGTGGCTTCTTTCAGGTTTCTTATTCTTTAGTAGATTGTGCACGAACTTAATCGTCTTTGTCATCGTCCTCATCATAATTGAAAGGTAACGGTACGGACTTGAATGCCCGGTACTTTCCACAATTGTTCAAATGTTCATTTTCCAACCTGATTGTCATAATCAATTAGCATAATTGATGAGTACTACCTTTGATAAACGTCAGAAAAGATTCAGCTATCTGTTTGTCTGCATATTCTTAGATGAATGAACTATTGATTACCTGAAGAAATTCCATAGTCCACGACGAATGACCTCAAGACAAGCGACAATTGTAGTCAGGGTTTGTGGATGCAATGGAAGGTTGAAATTCAACACGGTTTGGAGCCAGGCAAATCTCAGCACAACATTCAAACCCTGAAATTTCATTAAGCAGTTGATTAGTGATAATTAGCTATTAATTAATGATGATAATGAGTTCAAACTTGGAAACTGACCATGGCTCCAAAATAGATTTTTTTGTGAGGGACAAGGAGTTTGTCTCTCAACCAACGGTTCTTGGAATGGCGGTTTAGGAGACCCCAATCATAGACTAAGTCCCAGTATGTACAGAATATTGCTGCAATGGCTGAGAAAATCCAGGCTATTATTCTCCAGCCGATTACTTTGTTAATGCTGAAAGCTGTTCTTAGACAAACAGCTACAATTGTCAGGAAATATTTCAGTCCATTCAATCCTTGCATCGGATCTTTCTCTTCGAAGAGGCGACGAAGGCACTGTAGGAGGCGACACAAGTATGGAAGCACAGCCACGATGAAGTAGAAAGTATTGTACACATCACTATCTTTGCAAGTGTTCTCTCTGTGTTTAAAATTTCCCCAACCATAGTAGCAAACGTAAAACTCCAAGCTCCTAATGGCTTGCACCTGTAAAAATAAATACAAGGATATGAACTTCAAATTATTTGGAAAGGAGAGTATTGAGGGATTGACAAAAAGCAAGAGTAATTTCTCACAAACCTGGCTAGTCAATTGATCAGCCAGGAAGAAATCTGGGAGTGTGACCTGCAACAGGAAAGATAGTTACACATGAATAAGATTTGTTCCACAATTATAATCTCAATATGTTTGATCAATTTAATGAAAAAGTCTTCCATTTCTCTTTAATTTACCTTGTATAGAGGAGCGCAGATACAGTGAAACAAACATGTGAGGAGGAAGAATCGACTTGATCGATACAAGATGTTGAATGGCAGGAATAGGATGATAAATATAAACTGCAACATAGAAAAAGGAAGGATGAGAGTTAAAAACTGTTGTTGGAAAACGAATGGGACCAATGAATAGAGTATTAAATAGATTATCTTACAAGAACCAAGTTTAGAGGAAGAAGTTCAGTGAATGCTTCATAGTCTTTTGTTTTGGGATCCATCTCCATATCAAGGTTGGAGAGCACACTGGCTAATGCTAATGCTCCAAGACCAAAACTCAGAAGAAGAACTTCTCTGTAGCCCAGTTCGGTTCCTGGCTTGAAACCAAATATGAAAGCGTAATTGACTCGGTACTTCCTCCAGAAGAATATATTGATAGCATACATTACCATGTGTAGAACAATGAATCCGAAAAAACTGCAAGGGATTATCACAACTAATTTGTTAAACATAAATTTTGGGATCATGTGTATACTTGAATTGTCAAATGTTATGCACTGCTAAACTTGAAGAACAAAGAACTAAAAGGTACCTATAAAGAGGAAACATGGTTTCCATGTATTTGGTTCTCCCTCGATGATCCATAATTTTACGGGCACGTATGATCAAAATAAGGGCTAGAAGAAGAGAGGCCGTACAGCCAGCGAAAAAACCTGAAAATTTTTAAAACACATAATCAGGGAAAGAAAAACAAGATTAAAAAGATCCAAGACCGGAGAAAAATCGTGTTTAACGCCCTCAACTAGAAATCTTACCTGTTGAAAACGTTATCCTATGCCTTTCTCTTTTTGCTTTTGGTCTTAAGATGTTCATTCCCTTGGCACGGTTTGCATTTGAAAAGTGCTTGATGAATGTCGTTTCAACCCTCTCCATGAGCTTTGTAACCTGTGATGAAAGGTACTAGATTAGGCCACTGTATAATAAGGCATTGAACAGAAGAAGAAAATGAAGGAAACAGGGTTGAAAAGGGTCATCAGAGCTAATGAAACTTTACCTCATCAGAGCTACCAAGGTAGGAGTTATCCACCATTTTCATGTAAGATTTTGATGCTTTTCTGGAAGTGATCTTATCATACTTCTTCATTATTTTGGAAAAAGCCAACGTATTTAGAAAGCTGTTAATTCGAGGAGAGAAGGATCATTACAATCTGAAGAAAACAGAGACTATAGATCAAATGAAGCAATAAGTAGCTAGATATACCAACAGTCATTACCTGTAACTTTTAAGCAGGCGAAGCTTTTGGTAAAATTCAATAAAAGCCCTCTTAAGTTGTTCTTCAACCTTTCTTAGATTTTCCCTACTGAAACTCAGCTCTGTATGATTTGGAACCTTGAGGACACCTTTAATGGTGGAACGAGGAGTCTCAAGAGTGTTGTTTATTTTCACCCGATCAAGTACTTCAAGTGATGCAGGTTTGATCCCCTTGATTTTGGGTTTACGTGGTTTGGCTTCTTGAATCGGAGTATTTCTCTCTTTTCCTTCATCATCATCATCATCATCATCGCCTTGTCCGTGGGTGCTTTCTTCAATGGCTTCCAGGTGAGGAGCTCTTTCTACACATCAAACAGGAAGATATATAACATGAGTGTACATTTTCACAGAGAAGCAACGACTGATAAACCACAGCCCACAAAGTAAAAGCTTTGAGAGAAAAGAAACTTACCGCTTGCTGATCTAGCCCCAGATGGAGTAGCAGCTGACAATGCTGCAGCAGAAGCTGCAATGTCTGAAGCAAGACGAGTCATCTCCACTGACCTGTCAAAATTAATCCCTGGAGGATTCTCAACTTTTATCCTGAAAGCAATCAAAGCATCCATTTGCTTGTTCAAAAGATCTGCTTCCTTCATCACCTCTTGCACTTTAGCCCTATAAAATTTGTCCACTTTATTAAACTCATCATCAAGCCTTCTAAAGTACACCAGCTCATACTCTCCCCCTTCATCCGAGGACATCAGAAACGTAGTTTCACAAGTTTGACAGCCATTCCTATTAACAGAATTCACCAAAATGGGTTGGCTTTCAATGTCAGGTGAGGATGGGCTAGTTGGGTTGTGCCTTTGGGTTAGGCCACTAAAAGCTCTATACAGTGTCAGCTTTCGTTTTAGGCCTCCTGGGGTAGCCGGTGGCTTGGTCCTATGCTTGAAACGCTGCACTTCTTTCAAAAGGGTCTTCAAATAATCATAATCCATGTACGCTTCTTGCCATTCCGGCACCATCTGCGACGCAAATTCCTTCCCAAACTTCATCTTTGCCTGTTGGTACTGCCAATGCAGATTAAGCAATGGTGAATATATACTGTAATGCTAACACTTCCAAAGTTTCAATGCCAAAGCTTCTGAGGTTTGGGTCTTCCTCTCTTGAAATTGAAGAAAACCCCGCAAGAGAGTTACAATCATATACAAGTTGAGATAAGAATTAAAAGAGCAACTTGATGACCGATGAGGAAGGTTTCGTTAGGTGAGGCTAAATATATATAATACTACAAGAGAAACCAAAAAGGTGTAAACATCCAAGAAATTCGTGGCAGACTTAGACCCTGGTGCCTCAAGCTCGGTTAGTAAAAACCTGCAAGTATCTGACTTAAAATTAATTTATAATGATAATAAATAAAAAGATTTAATTTAAATATAAAAAAATAAATATTTATTAAGTATAAAATAATATTATTTAACGATAGAGATAAAAAAAATTTATTCATGATAAATTTAGAAAAAAATTAAAAAATTGACTCTAATATTATATTTATATTTAATTTAAAATTAATTAATAAAAAAAAACTTAACCTAAATATAAAATTATAAAAAATTAAATATTTATTAAATATTGATATCATACCGCTTTTAACATCATATAAAAGCAACAACAGACAGAACTAGCCTACGTGGGAACTGAAATAAAATGGAAAAAAAAATTTTACTTCAAAGAACCAGAGGCAGCCACAATTGACCACTCCACCAATGGAGAATGAGTCCCTCTTCTTTCATTCTTTTTAGGTAAACCTATATCGTTTCTTTACTCAAATTTTTATATGGAAATCCTAGCTAACCCAACCCAAGTTCAAGACTTTCCTTTTGCCTTTGAATATGTTGAGGTACAGAGAGTTAGTGGGTGATCATTGTCGTCTGTGGAAAACGCTGAGATCATCAATATTATCTTCAAATTTTATATAGTCGGACCGTACATCTTGAACGTATAGGAAACAGGTATACACAAAAAACCAGTAGCCAAACAAAAACAATACATCCCCCGAAGCCAGCTGTCATATTTCTTGATTTTAATAATAGTAGTAGTAATTTTTTATTTGGCACGTTCGGTTGAATTTTGAACTGATATTGGCAAGGCAGATCCAAGAATTCTACTGCGCTTTTCAAACCCTTTTAACCGTGTGAAGGATTTGACCATCGTAATCTTTGCATGAAATAACAAAGAAGGATCAAAAGGTTGAATTCCCGTCAACAATGATCACTGCTTTGCCTTAAAAAAAAAAACGTAAATTTCTAAGTCCTCCTCTATATGACAGGTTCTCTGCTGCCAATCTTTTTGCACAGGATTCTTTATTCACCTTCAATGTTATTAGTCACAGCCCAACAAATTTGATAGGAACACAAATGTAACATAATGTGAAGGATTTGATTCTGACAAATTTTCTAAAATGAATTTGTAAACTGTGTTTTCAACCATACCTTCAATGATAGTACCTAAAAGATAAATTCAAAGCCACATCTTTGATTCTAGCCTAAACTTGTCATCAACGGCAGCTATTAATTGTTCTGAACTCTCTTTAGCCATAACATGCTTGAAATTATCTCATGTTCTAATAGCAACTTTTGGTTACAATATCTTTAACAATGTTGTTTAGAAAAGTCTTAGCTTATTTAAGAAAAAAAATTATACTTTGTGGTTCTTAGGTAATTATAATTTGAAATGTCTCGGTCAATAAAACAGTTGAATTATTGTGGTGTGATTCTGATTAATTTCTTGAATAATGTTAGATTAAAAAATTATAAAGAAAAGTATAAAATTATTTAAATAATTGTGAGTTACGGCATTAATGATAAATTCCTAATAACATTTTAAAATATAATAATTTATTTATTTATTTAATTTTTTCCCCATTCAATGTGCTAATTATTAACATGGGATTTTCCTTTTGCTTGAAAAGGCTTCCTTCTTCATAATACATGTGCATTATTTCTGGCTTCCAAATGGGATCATGTATTCATATGTACGTTGGTAAGTCATAATTACATTATTTATGCGTGCATTCAATGTATGTCTCATAAAATGGTTGATATTTGCTCTAAAATTCAACGTACCCACTAATGAGCAGTTGGTAGGGTCATATTAAAATCAATTTTAAAATAAAAATTTTCAGTTTTGAATTCAAACTCAATCAAAATTCAACTTTCAATAATCTCAAATACAAAAAAAAAAAAAAATTATAAGATGCACGAAAACAAATAAGAGGAAATAGACACCTTCTATAAATAAATATAAGTAATGTTACTTAATTTTAATTTTAATTTTAAAATTTTGAATAAGAGTAGTATCACTAATTCTAACATCAGTTGGTAGGAAAAGGAATCATGCAAGGCAGAGGAAACTTTGATTAGTGAATGCCAAAGATTTTTGGATCGCATTGTATGTATCTTAGGGATCAACCATATGCAAAGCATTTTGTTGTAGACAAATATTTTTACCCAATTCTAATTGGATTGAAGAAAGAAACCTTGGCTCATTCCATCAAAAGGAAGATGAAAGAAACTTCGGCCCATAACGGGTAAAAAGGCTTGCTATCACTATTTTCAAAAGAGAACGTTGAGAATTGAGATGCTTCATGTTTTTTTTTTCGAAGAAGAAATAAATGGAGACAATATTTTTTGACAATATGATGTCCAAAATTAAAGAATTTAATCATCTAATCCACAACCACAAGCAATAAAATCCCCACCACATCTCAATTCTCGTCTCATCCAAAAAATCCAAATGGCAGCAATGCTCTTCACTTTCTCATCGCCTTCGGCTTTCCCTTCTACTTTCCACTCTTCTTCGACAACTCTCAAACACTTTTCTTCTTTCACTGCTAAACCAACACTTTCCATCCACCTTACAAAGAAACCCATATCTCTTTCAGCTACTTCTCTTCACTCACCAGCAACTGATGACCCTCCACCAGAGGTCCAAACCTTCTGGCAATGGCTCTGTGACCAGGGTGTAATCTCTGCCAAGTCTCCTGTAAAGCCTGGAATGGTCCCTGAAGGATTTGGACTCATTGCAAAAAAAGATATTTCCAGGAATGAGGTTGTCTTGGAGATTCCTAACCGGTTTTGGATAAACCAGGATGCAGTTGCAGCTTCTGAGATTGGAAGTGTGTGTAGTGGATTGAAACCTTGGGAGTCTGTAGCTTTGTTCTTGATCAGGGAGAAGTTGAGGGAAGATTCTAAATGGCGGGTTTATCTTGATATACTTCCAGAGTTAACAAATTCAACTGTGTTTTGGTGGGTGTGGTTTGTTTTCTCGTTTCTTTCTTTTGTAGTTCTTTTTCTTTTTTGTATTCCCTTTCTTAATCTCTAGTTTTGGTTATAATTTTCCTTTTTCTGAATGGGGTTTAGATCTTTGGGGTTGATAAAGTGTTGTTTGTATGGTTCCAGTGCAGGTCAGAAGAGGAGCTTGCTGAGCTTCAAGGTTAGTTCTGTCATAGTCTTATATTCATGTTAAGAAACTTTTTGTCATGTTCAACAAGCAAATTGGCATTACAGAAGTCAAATTGTAGGTCGAAGAAGATTTTATAGAACTCTCAATTTTATGTTCTGGTTAGATTTGTTGCTAAGGTTTCTATGTACTTCAATGCATTTGCCTGATGGCCATTTCAGGACTCACAAGTATAATCGATTACATAAACAAATTACTTTAACAATGTGACCCAGATCAGATGCAATGAAATGCATTTAATGGCCATTTTTGTTATATGCAAAGAACTTTGTTTGTAAAAGATATAGTCTCCTCATCAAAGTAACTTGTGCATTTTGTTAACTATGCATACCCTTTACTTTAATTAACACTGCAGCAAAGCAGATCAATTAGAAATATTATTTTCCATGTTACAGGTATTTAACTTCAGATTTTCTTGTTTCATTCTTCATAGTATATTCTAATCACTAGTGTTCTATTAAATGGCACAGGCACTCAACTCTTGAGCACAACATTGGGAGTGAAAGAATATGTGCGGAACGAATTCTTGAAAGTAGAAGAAGAAATCATCCTCGCTAACAAGCAGCTATTTCCTGCTCCAATAACATTGGATGATTTCTTCTGGGCATTTGGGATTCTCAGATCAAGGGCATTTTCCCGCCTTCGTGGTCAAAATCTTGTTTTGATACCTCTTGCAGACTTGGTAAGCCCCCTTTATTATTCTTAAAATTAGGTTGCAGAGAAAAGAAACAGAATAAATTTGGAAAAATGATGGAGTTTTCTTCTAAAATGTTTAGCAGACTCTAGTAAGTAGTTGTGGGGCTAATCTTGGCCTTGAAATAAACAAAAGAGCATCTTGCTTGCCCTGGAATTGGTTTCTAGTAGTTTACATGCAAGAATTACTGAAGTATGTAATAGACTTTAGTCATGGGCCTAATTTAACTCTGGTCTGATATAAAAGGGAGATCATCTTGAATTGCCCTGGAACTGGTTTCCAATAACTTACATGCTACAAAAGCTCTGATAGAATTTGAAGAAAAGTTATAACTGCCATAGCTGTCTTTCAGTCTCGGAGAAAACAATTGTCCACTTTAAATTGTATTCTTTTGGTTGCCTTTAACTGACTTTAATTTCAGATTTTAACTTTCTTCCAATCTTCTTCATTAATCAGATCAACCACAGCCCTAGCATTACTACAGAAGATTATGCATGGGAGATTAAAGGCGCTGGACTTTTCTCTAGGGATCTCCTTTTTTCTTTGCGGTCTCCTGTTTCTGTCAAGGCAGGAGAGCAGGTGAGGATTTCCAACTTCATGTTTTTCCAATTTTATTACTCTGACAATGATGCTTCAAAAAGTTATGTGAGAAGCTTTTTTCACTCATAGCTGTCCGCCTGTCACCATCGTCTAAGCATTCCTGCCCTTTAAATCACGAGATAAATTAACTTGATCTTATCTAAATGCCTATCTCCAGTAATACAAATGAATTATGATGATATGACATATGTTCACATGCGATGACTGATTGAGAAGATTATTCAACAGGTTTTGATTCAATACGATTTAAACAAGAGTAATGCTGAGTTAGCACTCGATTATGGATTCGTAGAATCAAAGTCAGAGCGCAATGCTTATACATTAACGTTGGAGATACCAGAGTCAGACCCATTTTTTGGAGACAAGCTCGACATTGCTGAGACCAATGGTTTGGGTGAGACTGCCTATTTTGACATTGTTTTGGATCAGCCGCTTCCACCAGGACTGATTCCATATCTACGACTGGTGGCACTAGGGGGAACAGATGCTTTCCTCTTGGAATCTATTTTTAGAAACACAGTTTGGGGCCACCTTGATTTACCTGTAAGTCGTGCCAATGAAGAGCTCATATGTCGGGTTGTCCGTGATGCCTGCAAATCTGCTCTCTCTGGCTATCATACCACCATTGAAGAGGTAAAGATGTATCTTTCTGGTATCCTAATCAAATCTAATTCTTTAATAAAGCCTGGCTTTGTTCAGTAAAGCCTATGAGATAGAAATAGATGTTTGCAAATTAGATTTGCAAAGTAATAGAAATGTTTACTTCAAATTCCAGCTAAAGAAAGGTAGCTGTTTGACCAAAAAACAAATTTCAGCTACATAATTATTCTACTAGGATGGCATCCTTAATCCATCATATGCCGCAATGACTTTCCTTTCTAATTACCACTTTCAGCTTCTTTGAAAAATTTTGAGCAAACGATATTCTTCTAATAGCAAACTTGCCCAAGGGTGTCATTGTTGAATACTTGTTAATTGCAGGATGAAAAGCTGATGGAAGGGGGCAATCTAGATCCAAGGCTGGAAATTGCTGTGGGAATAAGAGAAGGGGAAAAGAAGGTGCTGCAGCAAATTGATGAGATCTTTAAGGAAAGGGAATCAGAATTGGATGAGTTGGAATATTACCAAGAAAGGAGGCTCAAAGATCTTGGTCTAGTTGGAGAGCAAGGTGAAATAATCTTTTGGGAGACCAACTAGGACTTGTCAAAGTATCAACACCCATGTGTTAAGATTGAGGCAACTATTGATGGCAACTCCAAAACATCCGAACTGTTATTATTTAGCTGGCACACCTTTTTCAGATTGAGCAAGAACAGATGATAATACAACCAACAGATGCTTCAATCTTCTACCAGGATTTATGCCACTCCTTTTATCAGTCATCCACTTGAGCTATATTTATTTCATAACAATTTAATATTGTAATTTGCTTGTAGTTAGTCTGCTGAAAATAAGAATTGGATGGAGTTGAACTTAATCGTGTCTCATGCCGATGGTTCAATCGGTTTATTTTGCAGCTAGATAAAATCATTAATGATTTGCTCATTATGCAACCCTTTGTGTGACAATAAGTGCTGGGTTTGGAAGGTGTGCTAATCAACTCGTTGCATCAAGGCACTTTTGAGGAACGAGAGACAAGGGAATTGTACAAATATTGGCTAATTCAACTGTGGATTTATGTGACAGTGCTGAATACAAATCAACAAGAGGCATAAGAAAAACAAATAAATTTATAAGCAAAGGGGAAAATTTTTTCTTTCTTTCGGTACCCAGATGGGAGCTGGAGGATTTTCTGCCGCCGTTTCTTACAAAACTCTTTTTTAAGTGCATGTAAACATTGATCGTTTGGGGTATTCTGTCCTGAACCTTACTGGATTATCATCCACACCATTTTGAAACAGTTGTGCAGAAACCATCTCAAGCCGAGTTCAGAACTGATCGCCCACAATCATTATAGCATACTTGAGTTACCAGGGCCTAATAAGTCTTCACAATGTGTTCCCTCACATAGGCACTCTTGAGGGTTTGCATAGAAATAATCTTCCTCCTTTGGTTTGTCAGGAATAACCCGGCGAAGGAATGGCTGTCCCATCCGTTTCTTATGAGCTTGCCTTACTGCTAGTGCAAAGTCATTCCATGGAAGTGTCCCATTCTGATGCAAATCCAGCAATTCCACAAGTTTCTTTCGATTTGGCAGGATACTTTTTTTAAACCCAAGATACCTGAACAAAAGCTTGTTAAGGCTACGAAAATAATCCCCCCTCCCTTGTTACATAATTCAGCAACATACATACCTGCGATGGCCTTCTACAACTTTTGCCATGTTCCCATCGTATGTGGGAATAAAAGTATTGCTGGCAATAGATACCATAAAGTCCAAAGCTGCCATCTGAGATGAATGGTTCTGAAATTGCTGCAGTTCCACTGGATCTAATATTGTTTCCTTTTTAACCTGAAATTGTAATAATGTCTTGAGATCCACAAGAATCATATGCAAAAACAAAATGGAAACTACAGTTACAGCTGCCTGTTTTAGAAGCCAGAAGTAGAGCTAATCCCAATACTTAATTAATAAACATGCATATGGTCAAGGATTAAAGAGATTCTGTCAGCTCAACTAAGTGCAGGAAAAATGGTTCATGCAATCCAAACTGTCTCTTTGATATGAGTGAGTGCTACATCAGCATTGAAATCAAAGAAGACTTCAACAACAATTTGCAACTAGGTTCCCAAAATTCTAACAAAAGCTTAGAGTTTTCATATGCACCAAAAAGAGTTGGTAATATAGAAATGCAGTGCTTTGTAGAACTTTAAACAAACATATCAATACCAAAAGCTAAACATTTGCAGGGTCAAAAACTCACAATCCGTGGAAATGCAGCTCTCAGTGGTGCCAATCTCCTTTCACTGCCATAAATCTCCCCAGAAGCAATGTAAATCTGAGTCCCCTTATCTAAACCCAATGCTTGCAAAATTAATGCTGCTTCCTCTGGTGTCAGAGGACACAACCCTTGTTGTCTCCTCTCTGCAGACACTATTTCTTTCTCTCTCCACCAAGGGTATGCATACCTGAAAGGAAAAGATAGCTATCTAGTTACATGTTTATATCGTCATGTCCTGATACTTGCTATTGATAATGTTGAAATCACAAGATTTGATGCAACTCTAAGTTTTATTGATGAAACTAGTTATAGATCTATAGATATAAATCTTGTCATCACTAGTTCAAACATTTGATGCAACTCAAACCAACAAGGTAGGGATACACCATGATCATATTGCCCAAAAACTAACAAAATTTTGTTATTGATGACTACCAACAGTGGAAGGACATTAGAAAAAAGCTTATATTTAAGTTGCAGGACATGGCTCTGCTATTTTGTTTGTGGTGTGGGTGCATGCTGGGGTGACTAGTGCATGCCTCCTAAACAGAGGGGACACCACTACTTGCTAACATAATTTGAGTGTTGTCACTGGAATATATCAGCTTCAAACATTACAAACCTCAATCGTTTTAGCTCCTCAGCTTCTTCCACAGTGCAGCCATGAGTGCAGCCTGAGAAAGCCAACATGTCCATCTCATATCTTAGATGCAATGCCACGAATGGTCCCTTTTCTTGAAGAATGTGAACCAATTTATACCCCAAAGTCTCAATCTGAGGAGTAAATTTCAGTCCTTGGAAATTAACACGGCACCTGAGTTTCTGAAGATCGAGCCGGATCCCATTATTTGCCAGTCGTGTATCTGTTCTATTGAAGTGAACTACCTTAAACTTACTGAACAGGGGTAGAATCTGTAAAATAATGTCAGGAATAATGTCAGGCATTAGATTGTACTGCATAATCAAAAAGAAAAGAGAAGAGACAAAAACGTCCACCCATCAATTGAGAGAATTACCAATTTGCTGCTGTTGGAATGATAAATGGGAGAGGAACTCATTTTTTAAGTATAAAACAGTAATTAATAATGGGCAACCAACCTGTTCTAAGTAGTATTTTTCATTTGACCAGCTAACAGGAGGCATCCGAAAATCTTGAAACCCATATTTCCTACTAAACCTCTTTGGCAGCCTTTTGACAATGCGAACTTCATCCCTTAGAGAATCAATGAAATGTCTCACATCAAAAATGTCCTCAAAATCACTGCAAAAACAGATCATGAGTCAAAGACTTTTAAAGCAGCGTTGAAAGAAGGAAACAACCTTTTCAGAATGATAAACATACCTAGGATCTGCCCAGAATGATTTCTTATCAAGCTCTGGAACAACCAAAGTGAGATTTAAAAGTCTGGCAACAGTTACCATGTCACAGATCTAAAAAAGCCCAATCAGCTGGATTAATAACATAATATTGAATAAACAAACAAGGAAAATATGAGCTAGAGAAAAGATGCAAACCGCAGCACGCATTTGATTCAAGCCCCCATTGCACGAAACTTTGAGAAAACCATTACTTTTGTAGTTTCCTGCAAATATACAAGAATGAAGGTATTACTTTTTCTAAAGATCAATTGAAAAGGCAAAAATATTTCCTTCAATAAAATTCATGGATACATATATGATGTATAATGCATAGGTTATCAAATTCTCAATTGCCCAAGAAGATTGTCATGCATGTTAAGTAATAAGGAAGTTGATGATTTCCAAATATTGTCCAGTAGCACAAGTTTGTAGCATCATGGAATTCATGGGTATTTACAGAAACCAAGATATGGCGGTTCTAGAGTATCATGTAGCAACAACTATCCGACAAAGCATACCATAAACCTAATAAACCTAAGTAATTCGGGAACATGATCAAGAATCCAGAAATTTAGTATCAGATATATGTTGACAGCCTGTCTAAAAGGATGAAATAGATGACATTCCAACGATCATTTCATCAGAGAGTCCAGTCAATACTTTTAACACTTAATTAAGGATGCTATAATGAATTGCAACTTAAAAGTACATTGCAACCTAGCACAACCCATCTTCCAGCAGGCAATACAAAAACAACAAAAATATGCCTTTCATAAAAAAGACAGTAAACAACATTTATTCTTACAATTTATCTAGCAAGGTTGCGGCTTTCTCAAATTGAACACAAATTCCCAAACCATTATCAAAATTTCGAGTAAATTCAAAGCAAAAGAGCAAAAATAGGGATAGGGGAGGGGGGACTCACTGGGAGGAAGAAGAGGAGGCGGGGAATGGAGCGAGAGTTGAAGACGAAGAGGAGGGCGAGTGTTGATCCAGGAAATCCGGTTGGTTAAACCGGTAAGCAAACGCGGGTGCCATAGCTCACCAACGGCAACAAGCTGAACCAAACAAGTCCAAAGCAAAATGCTAGAACAAACTCTTAAGAACCAAACCTGAAGACGAGTCCTAGGAATCACTTGACTAGAAATCTTGTCGCACCTCACTTGTATATTATTCTCAGATCTAACCTCCATTTCTCTTCCTCTCTCCTCATTGCCTTTTCTTCATTTGAACCCAACAAAAAAAAAATCAACTCTTTTCACACCTTACAAAATAACAATCAAGAATGTGATTTTCCCCTTCTTTTTAAAAACAATAAAAAAAAAAAACCTAGAAAGAGATCACGAGCATCAACAGAGGAAGAAAAAAAATTGAATGAATGAATATCACCAACCAAACAGATGGTAACTGGAAAATCTTTTGAGGTTTTCCTTTTTTGGACGAAGAGGAAAAACCGTTAAAAGTCTATGTACTCTATTGCTACGAAAATTTTATATTTTTTAAATTTTATTCCCTTTTTCTCATTATTTTTATCTTTCTTTGGCAAGGAAATTCCTTTTTTTTTTTCTTTTTTCTTTTTCCTGTTTCTTGGTTTTAAAAAGCGCCAGGGATCTGTTTGGTTACTGAGAAGATCGAAGAAGTCGAGAGAATTAAATAAAATAAAATTTTATGTAAGGGCAAAATTGGACGGCTCCGATCGTTCCAAAGATTTCTTTTGTTAGAATGGGGACAAGCTTTTTTTTTTTTTAATAAAGTTAATTTTATTTGTTCTTTTTTATAAAAATATTTTGTATTTAATGTCATATTTGGTAATTAATTGATGAATTTCACATTCCATATTGCTTAATATGATAATTTTCAAGAATACTTTGTATATAATTATTTTTTATATATTTTTATTATAGATTTTATTAATAAAAAATTATAAATATTGAGATTTAAATTTTAAATTAATTAAATATTATTTTATAAATATAATTAAATACATTAAATTAAATTTTAAATTTTAAATTTTTAAATATTTTTCTATATTTTGACTAAGCAAATATTTTTATTTCGTCGTTTAATAAGCTTTGAACATATTACACTCTCGTATAATTGTACTTTCTAGCGACAAACATCCCAAGTGCATTTTAAAAATGTTTAAATTAAGAAACAAACAAACAAAAAAAACATATGAGTTTGTAGTTGTTATTGAATTTATATCTAATAATTTAAAATATGATAAGATAATATAATATAAATATAAAATATAAAAATAATAATATTTAAAATTTTAATAATTATTATATTTAAATTTAATAAAAAATTATTTTATATTTTTATGTTAACATAAATTACAATATATAATTTTTATATAAAACATAATATAAATATATAAATTTTTATATTAAATATAATATAAATATATAAATTATTAATTGTAATTAAATCGAGAATCAAGAAATTGCCGCCATGGAATTAAGAAAATAACCAAAACAATGAAGAGAAGATAGCTGACTTTGGCCTGTCATAGATGAATTCGAGGTCTGAGTTTTCGAGGAATAATCAATGCCCGACTAAGGAAACTTGCTAAAAATGTTTACTATTATCTCACCTCACCACGAAATACCAGTTAACACAAATACTTCATATAATTATTTTTAAAAAATAATATTCAATAAATATAAATTTTTTAAAATATATATATATATATTTTTTTTTTCATATTCTCGTGCTATAACTTTTTTTATACAAAATAGAAAAAAATTAACTAAATTAGTTCCATTTGTGGAAACTAGATGCACAATTATACGCAAATAATGGAAAAGCATTAACCCCCAAATGCCTTGGTGACAAGGTGTCATTCTGAATTCAATTTTGTTAATACTAATTGTCAACATAGGAATTGAATTGAGATCTGATCAGAAACGGCCGAAATGACATTCTCATTTAGTGAAAGAAAAAGCTTTAGCAATTATGAATCAAGCACTCACTCACACCCTTTTGCATTGAATATATGGATGGACAAACAGCCGGCCTACATGAACTCAAAAAAGTTCAAACTTTCATACCCCTTTTACTGCAACTTGCAAAAGCTTTCCTTCAACGGAAAGCTTGCTTTTATATATGTTTAAAAATTTTTCTATTTGTCTAACGTGAACCAAAGCAGCAGCTGCAAAAGCAATGAATCCTGTGAAAGAGAGAGAGTCAGAAGAATAATGAATGTGTTAATTGCAAAGATGAAATGATATGAACAATTGGGTGCTGTGTAATAAATGTATCTATTATTCAGAATTCTACTTCACACTGATATCAGTTTCTCACATGGGGCAATTTGGGTGTGTGCGTGTGATTTTAAATTAATAACGGATCTTGTTTCTAAAAAAACTAAAAAAAAAGATTAAAATTGATATATAAAGAAGAAGAAAAGTAGAGAATAATGTCAAATTCCTGGGAATCACCCCACCCAATAAGTTCATTGATGACCTTTGCAGGGCGCCTAGCCATTGTATTTTATGCTCAACGGTGCTGAAACAATGGTAATATAAAACTGTTACTTCTTCGATGGCTTTTATTGTTTTCAGAAACAGAAGATATCATTTGTTAAAATCCTGACAAATTTTAAAAGCATGGAATCCTTTCCTAGGTCGCATTCTAACTTATCTCACTCGGACCATTTTGCACATCTCTAACTTACAATAATCTTATGGCAGAGGTATGGGATGTTAGAGAAGGTTTAAGGTTAGCTTTCCAAAGCTTTGAACACATAGCCATTCATTGTTGAGCTTGAGGTGGATGGGACAGTGGGTGTTCATTTGCTGCACGAAGGGATTGAGGGTTCTCACTCTTGTCCTCTAGTAGTTGAGGATTGTGTGTATTTGGAAAGAAGTTTTATAAATAAAATTTGTGAATTTTTTAATAGAAATGGGTAGATAAAATTTTTAATAAATTTTTTAAATTGATAAATTAATAAAGTTAATAAAAATAAAAATTTTATTAAAAATATTATTTATAATTTAAATTTAATAAATATTTATTTAATTGTAAAAAAATTTATTAATATTTTTATTAAAAATATTTATTAATAAATATATCAAAATTAATTTTTTTTAATTTTATATGTTTAATTTATATAATGAGATTTTTTAATTTTATTTTTGATTTATTAATTTTTAATAAAAATTTTGATTTATACGTTAAGTCTTTTTCATTTCACGAGAGCAACAGGGGTGCTGATTCGATAAATAATTATAAAAAAATTAGGAAAATACCGATTCAATCTAAAGTATAACGGATCTGGGAAACAGGACAGGACAGCCTTAACGTATCTAGGTTTCGCTGTTACGTGTCTCCTCCAATGCAATCTCACCACGTGGCAGACTTAACTTTGACCTTTCCTAATCTCTTCTTCCGCTTTCCATTCTTTGCCGCAATAACTTCCCAACCCAAGCTGATTTCCTTTTCACACCAGCCAAAAAAAAAAAAAATCCCAAAGAATCTCTCTCTCTCTGTTTTGCAGTTGAAGTTTGATTTGCTGACAATGATTCTTCGGTCGGTTTTAATCGTGGTTCTGGTAGTGGGGATTTTATTCCCTGCATCGCAATCATTACGGTTCGAATTGCAATCGGGACATACTAAATGCATCTCCGAGGACATCAAAGGCAATTCAATGACGGTCGGAAAATACCACGTTGTCAATCCGAACGAGGATCACCCTTTGCCCGATTCTCACAAGCTCACCGTCAGGGTACACTAGAAAAACTAAAACCAAAAACCTAATTTTTTAATTTTTTGGGGTTTTATTTTATTCTTGCAATGAATTTTGAGATTAATTTTAATAAGAAGTTTTATTTTGGGGGTAACTGAATGAAGGTAACGTCGTCGTATGGGAATAGTTTTCACTCGGCTGAGAAGGTGGAGACGGGGCAGTTCGCATTTACGACGGCGGAGCAGGGAGATTACATGGCTTGCTTTTGGGCGCCGGATCATTCGCCGCAGATGACGGTTACCGTAGATTTTGATTGGAGGACTGGTGTCCACGCTAAGGACTGGACTAATGTTGCCAAGAAAGGCCAAGTCGATGTAAGTCTTCTTCTGGTCCTTTAAAAAAAATGTTCATGTTTTTTCGTTTAAATTTTTATTTTCTTTGAGCTTATTCTTTTATGGGGGCAGTTCTCATTAGTCAACTAACTCCTAAAATCAAGATAATTGGCATGTGAAAAAAGACCTTGGTTAGGGGTTTAACTCTTTGAAGGGATTGGCTTTATATCTGTTTGCTAGAGCAAAAGGTTAAGGGCCATACCTCTACAATACAGTATGTTGAAATCTTATGCTCAAAAGCTGTCGAAAGCATGCTGAAGACTGCAATTTGGTTAAGATTTACGAACCGTGATCAGTAAGATTTTATGTGCTGAGGAGGTTTAGGTAGGACTAATTGGAATTCATTGGATATTTTTGGTGTTGTCAGCTAGAGTTAGACAACAGGTTGGCAATTGTAAAAGGGGTGTCTTTCTCTTGTGCTATATGTCTATAAGACTTGTTGTTCCTTGTTACAAAAGATTCATCTGAGGTTTTGCTTGGCTTCACTTGTGTCTGTTTTAGGTGGGGATAGCTCTTTCTTCCCAAGGAAAAAGATAAATAATGTAACAAAGGTACATTGCTATCGATTTCATGGAAAAGTCAGCTTGCCTATCTTTTAAGAGAGAGGAGAAGAGGGGTGGGGGTGTTGAATGGTGTTTGTTGGTTTTGTTGCTTGTGGGTTTTAAGTACCAGAAAGCTAAGTAGATTTCTTCTAACAAGCATTAGAGTCATCTTGGTAGATTAGAACTAATTGAAAAAGATGTAAAACCAGAGTTGCCTAGTGCCAAGCTGAAGGGTCTCGGTGTTTTATAGAAATTACTGCTTTTTCTTTAGGCTTAAGCTCTGTTATCTTCCTTTTTAAGCAGGTCTGCCATCTTCACTTAGCATTTGTGGCTGATAATGAAGTTCACTAGGCTGGATCTCTTTGCACTTTGCCCTATTTTATGTATGAGAAGTTCCTTGCCTTTGTTTTAGCATTTTGAGTTATACACTGGCTTTTTGTATATTAGGTGCACACACTTTCACTGGATATTGATAGATTGCAAGATAATACTAATGAAATATAGTGCTAACCTTTTGTCTCTCCTTAGTCTGAAAGCATTAGTGTTGCTTTTCCAGGTTAGTTCTTTACACCATTGAAGCCATCGAACCTTCCAGCATATCAGTTATTTGATATTGGAATTTTTGTTTCCATCTTTGATCCAACCCTTGATCTAATTTGAGTAGAAAAAATGTTGGATGGAAAAGCAAAAGGCCTCATTTTTTGTTTGTACTTGTATTGTAAATACCAGGCGATGGAACTGGAGCTGAAGAAGTTGTATGATACTGTTACTTCCGTTCACGAGGAAATGTTTTATTTGCGGGAAAGGTAAAGGAAACATCTTTGTCACTGAAACTCCAAGCGGTCTTTGTTTTTTTAACTCACCACCTTTGGTTGTGTCTGTGGGATTTTGCAGGGAAGAAGAAATGCAGGAGCTGAACCGAGCTACTACCTCCAAAATGTTCTGGTTGTCCTTCCTCTCACTTTTTCTTTGCCTGTCAGTAGCAGGGTTACAATTTTGGCACTTGAAAACCTTCTTCGAGAAAAAGAAGCTCATTTAAGTATTGTAAGACAACAGTTGTTTTCTTCTGTACTCTTGTAAAATATTTTGGCGAAAATGTGCTTTGACAAAAATAATTTCCTAGTTAGATTAATTGGAATTGGAATTTTCAATAATTTAAAATTGGCTCTACTGGATCAAAAAAAAAAAAAAAAACGAAATTCCCCAATCAAAATGCAAAGCTTAGAATATAAAAGTCGAATGAATGGACAAATGATAATGAGAAAGCTTCATTGTTTACAAGAAATTCAGCCTAAAGACTTCACGACTTTGTCCAACCATTTCCAAACAGACACTAATAGAACACAAGAATTTGCTTTGCCTGTTATTGCTCTTCATAATCAATAGTGACTTCAAGGGATTACAATTGAAGGATGAAAAATAAAGCTCTGTAAGATGAGGAAACATTTTATATATGTCAATCTGCGTGGCCTAGATTTACTTGTATTAAAATATAATAACAGTTGAAAAGCAGACATCTAATTTCAAGATTGAATTTGGCAAGAATAGAGGAAATCGTGTCATGGCAGCATCTATCACGAGGTGATTAGTGAGTCTATTCAAAATACCGTTGTCACAAATGGGCGGGCCGGAGACGACGGGAGGGAAACAGGATTTATATCATCTACATAAAATCTTGAATATCATGCATTGAATATATTCCAATGGTGATCTGTAAGTACATTTTCCTTGATCTTTTCAAGCCTCTTGAGAATATCCAAGAAAGAAGGTCTTTGGTTAGCGTCAGCAGCCCAACACTTGTCTGTTAAGCTAAGAAAGATTCAAGAAGAAAACAATCAGCAATTCCACTTTTCCAAGTCCAGCACTCCAATTTTTTGTTTTAATATAAGATAAATTCAGTTAAGAAACTTTATTGCATTAAGGCGTGGTATGTTTATACAAGGCAGCATTAAGCCATGATATGTGTCAAGATGCTAATTAGTTATAAATAATTACTAAAAATATGCAAATCTTCATGCAGACATGATAGTTTACCTAACCAACTTATCATTTTAAAAGTAGGAAGTTATGGTTGGACACTGTACATGGTGTGGCACAAACCACGAAACTTTCTAGCAAAGTAGAAATTTATTGATGGCTTACTCTCTCAGTTCGGGGAGGTATAATTTTGAACGAAAAAAAGGCCGGTGTTCTTCTGCAACGTACTTAGCTGCTTCATAAGGCTCATAATTTGAGAATGGTGGTTCTCCTTCAAGCATCTGCTCCAAGTAAGAATAAAAAGCATTAGAACTAGTCTCAAATACTTCATGATCAATATCATTTTCAGAGAGGACGAAGATTACCTCATAAAGTATCATAGCGAAGGAGAAAACATCAACCTTTTTATCATATTTCCGGTGCTTGAAAACTTCAGGAGCCATATAACGATCTATTCCAATTCCAAATAATGTAAAGAAAGTAAGTAACTGAGGATCATATTTTATCCAAAGGAAATCTACAAGAAACACTCACAACTCCCTGTCTCGCCAGTCATTTTGTAGATATCATGAGAATTTTGAACCTTGATGAGCTTGCTCAGTCCAAAGTCTCCAACTTTCAAATGGTCTGCACTGGAGTTGACCAAAAGCACATTCCTGATAAAATAAACAAATTTTAACATGAAAAAGTCAATGCAATTCAAAGTTTTCAATCATGGGAGCAAAAAGAAAGGAAATCAACTAGAGAAATGGGGAAAATATTTTGTGCTTTCAGAAAAAAGCCAAAGTTAATTAAGCATTCAAAATTCAAAAACTCATTTCCGCTACATAAGCGCACAGTCAATGAATAATGACAGGATTGTTTGCACAGCAAAACTGAAATAGCAACGGACTTACCTGGGTTTTAGGTCTCGATGAATAATGACATTTGGCTCATTGTGAAGATAAGCCATACCCCTGGCCACAAAATTTATAAAATCTAGTTTAGCAAAATAGCATATACAAGAGAAATTTAAATGCAGTCACATAGCCAAACATATTCTGTAGAGTAGCTCCCTGTCAAAAGGGAGAGAAGTTGTTAAAAACCAAAGAAAAGGTAATGATTTTATCCTAGTTAAGAAATGCAACATGATTTATGGTATGCTTCTACATTTTTCACTCTTTTTCTCTAAGTTCTACTTAGATGCCAAAGCATGGCACATGGAGCTGCACTGACTATAAACTTAAAATAGAAGCTTTCTTATATACCTAGCAATGTCCAATGCAAAGTTGATGGCTGTGGATGGATGAAGTGCACCCTTTTCCTTGAGATACTGGTGAAGATCACCCTGTAATAGCATATAATGATAAGATTAAGAAAGGGTAATTAAAGAAAATTTAAGATTTCTTATAGAATATTCTACAGAGAAGTAAACATTTATGCATTCTCTCATCTAATAGAATGAGAAACATATATCCATTCACATACCCCTCTTAAATACTCAGTAATTAACATAAGAGGCTTTCTCTCAGTGACAGCTCCAAGGAATTGAACTATATTAGGATGGCGGAGCTTTACAAGCAAATTCACTTCGTGCCGGAAATCCTGACTGAGCCAGCACAGCAGAACACACGCAAAGAATTGCATTCGTAATACAATAACAAACTGGATTGACAGGAAATTTATCATATCTAAAACCAGCAAAGATTAACCCTGTAAAATGTATAAGTGGCTTTCAAAATTTGAAACTAATTACACCAAGGAGAGGTATGAGTCATTAAAGGAAAATTTTCATGCCTTTTTGGATGAATTCATGTGAGTTTTATCTTTTCCTTCGGTCACTATTCATTGTCAATGAGAATATACATTAAAGAAAGTAAACATTCATGGGAAAGGGCTTTGGAAGCAAACTATAGAGATATATTCAAAACATAGTGGCTTACATCACCAATCTGTCATCTAAAAGTGATGGAAGAATCCGTTTGACAGCTACAGGCGTTCCTCGCCAACTGGCCTTTAAAATCTCACCAAATGACCCCTGTCAGTATAGGATATAATCAGTGAAAGCATATATTCCAGATAGTATAAGGAAAATGGACCAGGTACTTGCATGCTCAATTGTTGACTACCAGAATTTAAGTAGCTTATATATGAATTCAAGTTCCAAACTGACAGATGGAACTTACACATCAAAGGGACACACCAACAATCTAAAACCACTTATAGAGGTTTGACAGCTAATTCAAACTTACATTAGCCCAAAGAAACATATCCTGAAATATCAACTTAATAATAATCAATCTTTCTAATAAGCAGAAAGGGTAATGTATACATTCAGCCATCTCCAAGTGCAGAGAGATTGGATCATACTACTAAAGACCATGTTCTGATTACGGCCAGTGCTGATGTAATTGTCCTGATAATTGTCAAATTCATACAGATTAAATCTCCATTTCATCAAATGCTTACCATCTTGCCAAAGAGGTGATTACCATTATGTTAGTCATAAGAGAATCTTTATTATATTCTTTCTTGGCAAACACCACACATCTACATCCATAATAAGCATTCTATGGTTTGACTAACAATCACATGCACTTATGGCAAAACGACAGAAGACATAACACCTAGTTTGAAAAGTGAATTAAGGCTTTGCTTGGTTGGGAGGATCAAAAGGAGGAAGGAAAAATTTTAATTCAATGGTTAAGGTACAAAGTTGGAAGGTGGTTATGAAACCTAACCATTGGATAAAAAATTTTCTAGGCCTCTCCTTTTCATCCTTCTTACCAAGCAAAGCCTAAAATCAAGACAGATACATCATGTAAAAATTGAAACAAGAAATTTTCCCAGTATAGTTTTGCACTTAAAACAGTTTGCATGCATGGGAAACAAGCTCTGCCCTGCATGTTAGCAATATTAAGAAATTGATATCACACCTTCCCTATGATATTTGAATTTGAGAAGTCCAGCTCAGAAGGGTCAATTTCCCAGTCACACTTGTTTGGTAGAGGGGGTGGAACTGGCTTTGGTTCGAAATGGCTTCCATTTTGGCCCTGCAAAAATAAAAACTTTTAGCCCATAAAAGCAGCTAAAATGCAAAACTCACAAGGTCTAAAAGGGTTTCCATCAGTTAAACTTGTTTAACTAGCTCCAGTAGCAACCAGATCAGAAGATATAATGAACAAGCATTAAAAGCCATAATCAGAGTGCATTTCACTGTTAAGGAAATTGTTCATGAATCACTGTAAACAAAATAAACATTGTCACATCAATATGGATAGGGAAACACACATGCAACATTCTGAACAAGCAGCCCTCTCTAATAGGATCTACTTTAGACAATATTAGCAAATTTCAAACGAATGATACCAATGATGTCCTTCTAGGATTCAAACAAAATAATTCTTAAAGAAGGATTGAAAAACAGACGAACGCTGAATGGAAAGTTAAAGGCCATCCACAATTTCGAGTCAGCCCCAATATCTAAGTCCTTGGTCTGACAAACAACCAAGTATGAAATGTACAAAATGATGACTAAAACGAAACAGATACTTGATCCATAATTAATCAAAGTGCCATTTCCTGCCATTAATCATCCGTCATAATGTTAAAGTTGGCTATTAAAGTTCATTACAATGAAGAAATGCAATTAAAAAAAAGACATTTTAAGAACTCTAATTTTAGACTAAATATTGAAAGAAAATAGTTATCAAAATACTCAATAATTAAAAATTGCAAAGCAAAAAAGCTGAACTTACGTAAGATAATCCACCATATGATTTTAATAGCTCGATCATATTATGTTTCTTAGATCCTTCTGCATCAGCTAAAGGCTGCAATCACCAAACAAAATAAAAAAAAGAACTTTATGTTAAATGCAAGAAAAGAAAAGACAGTGGAAACAGTGAAAGCCTGAAAATTAGAGAAATGAAGAGAAAAAGGAAAGGCTGAAGTGGCACCGTATTCTTCCAGCGATCTTGGGCGTTGACATCGGCGCCACAATCAAGGAGGCACTTGCTAACGTCAATCCAGCCGTGAAGTGAAGCAACGTGGAGAGGCGTACGGTTGTCGTAGTCCCTAGCGTGGACCAAAGACCGATCTTCCTCAAGAAGCTTGCGTACAGCGCCGGCGTCGTTCTGATGAGCATGCCACAAGATCAACGAAGTCCTGCTCACTCTCGCCTTCTCCTTTTGCTTGTCCGCTGATGATGTCGAACTCGCCTTCCCGCTCGATCCCTGCGCTGGCAATTCTCCACCGTATGTGTCTGAGCTCATGGTCAAAGATCTGTTTTCTTATTTCGGGTCTAATCGAATAGATCGCAATTTTTTTTTTTCCTTCTGTTATTATTTATTATATTCTCCTGTTTGATATGGCGCCGTGGAGGAGCGTTGGTTGGAATCTAAATTGGGAAAAATGAAATGCATTTGGAAAAAATAAATAACTTTTTTTTTTTGTATATAATTTTGTATCCGTTACCATGTTTTACCTTTTCAACAGAATAACATTCTTTCTCTCTCTCTCTCTGTAATTCTTTCTTTGTTACGTAGAAATTGTATTTTCTTTTCCCTCCTTTCTTTTCTAGAAAAACAATATGTTTTCCTACATTTTCACAGGTCGTTTTATCTATAATACTAAGTATCACTATACATATTAAATCTATTCCTTTAAAGGATAGGACAGTGACATATGATAAGACATGTGAATAACCGTTTACTTGTATTTTTCTAAAATAATATTTTTTTATTTGTTTAATTATAATTATAATATAATAAAATATATAAATAATAATAAATAATAAAAGGTGAGTAAAAATAGGAGGAAATGTTGTTAACAATTACAAAATTCTCAAAAATTTTTTAAAAAAATCAAACTAAACATTTAGATAATAAAAAAACTCTCTAAATATCAATAAAAAAATCAACCTAAAAATCATAAGACTAACATATTACGATATAAAAAATAACTAAAGCAATAATAACCTACACAAAAATCAATAAAAAATACCCAAAAAAAAATTATTTAAAAATTAATCAAATCTAGAATTTTTTTTTTTTCATAAAACATCACCTATAAACAAAGACAATAAAATTAAAAAACTAAAAAACATTAGAGTTAAGATTTTTTTAATAAATTTCAAAAGAAAAATTAACAACAATCAATCAATACAAACATACCTATAAAAACTCAGAGATGTAAGATTTTTAAACTTTTTTCAATTCAAAAAATCCAAAAATTTAAAATTATTTTTTATAAAATTAAAAATATCCCCGTGGCATGGTAGCATTCTGGTGATATATAAGTGGAAAGTCAAAAGTACGGGGAATGTCACTTTATCTATAGCCGTGGTTACAGATTAATTCTCCACATTTATACTTATATATTGATTATAGATATAAATTAAATTGGACCGACCATTTCATGCTTGGCAATACTTTATAGAAGCTATATTCTAAGATTGGGAATCATAATCTGCAGTGACATATTGTCATACAAAAATTTGTATTTGAATAAAATGCTGACAACTTCTAAATGCAGAACCGCAAATTAAGATTTTGTTCTGTATTTAAATGAATTTTACATTACAGCATAGGCCTACAGGATTTACCCTGACTCGCTTCATATCAAGTCCTCATCGGTCTTCAAGGGATAGCTTGCAGGCTCTCAGGTCGAGCTCCAGACTTTGGGGTAGAGGAGGTGTTCTTCCCTTACGGAACATAACAGCAAGAGCCCTAATCTTACGACAAAGATCAAATACCTGCAGAAAACAGTAAGTAGATTATTATTATTATTATCATAAACAACTATTTAATTGTAGGGTTAGAAAGACAGTAAAGTTTTTGGTAGCTATCGATGAGGCTTCCATCTCTGCAACACCTTCACATCCTTGGCCACCTCCCTGCATTAGGTCACAATATTTTGCAGCTTCATTCTCATCTTCAAATACCTATGTCACAAGAGTTGGAGTTGTTCAACTTGACAACCAGAGCGGCAGACCAACCGAGAGAAAGCAAATATTGTAAGATTAAAACACCAACTTCAACTATTTTCATTCGGAAAACTGCATGCACCATGACCATCAGCGCATTAGTAGCAGGGGAAATGAAGGCATACCATATGGCATACAGCAACAATACTAAATTTAACCATGGAGATGCTAGAGGATGGGATTAGAAAAGACATGTTAAGCATGAGAATAAATGCTTGATTAATTGAGACCAGAATTTGATTCATGTTTCCAGTCCCCTAATTTCCTTCGACAATTGACACTACACAGCTAAAACATCCAAACTAACTTTAGGAAAGATACAAATAAAAAAGACTAAATCATTAACCACTTACAAGCACTCCTTCCCTATCATCCTCCACCTGCATCTGAAACTTGGAACCAGCTCTAGGCTGTTTAGTTTTGTTTCCAATTCCAGAACTCCATTTTGCTCCTTTAGAAAACAATAATCCAAGTTCCCTTTCAACTTCACTGTTAGAAGAAAAGTATGTGAGGCAGGGCAATCATAATAATAATTCAAGAAAAGATACATAGGTTTCCAAGCTAAATTAGACCTGCGATTTCTTTGAGTTCTCATTGTGCACAACTAGTTTTCCTTGTGAGTTAGTAAATATAAAGGTTTCACAGGATCTCTCCATGGATTTGCCTCCAATACTGAACAAGATTAAGTGCGGGAAAAGTAGTGAAGCTTTGTGAAAAAAAGAAACAAAACAAAAGATATGGTACCATATTGTCGACAAAGCATCAAGCCTTGAAGAAATAATACAGGTTGCCAAATAATTTCCGACTATTACCCACGCTAAAAATATGCATCCATAAATTCCACTATTGCAGACCAAGTAGATATAGCAACTCATACTTTGTATATGTCAGATAAAGGCTCAATATTATGCAGCTAGCATGACTGTTAATTCTATGGAAGAAGTATGAAGTGGCAGCATAACAACTACGTGAATTATTATCTAGTAAAGAAAAAATATAAGCTCATGTTGTAGCTGGGTACAAGTTCCACAAATTTCTAATTATTTTGAAGGAAAACAACAAGACATGGATCTTTCACATTTGCTAAAGAAATGTAGTTGCCAACAAGTTGAATTCACAATAAGCCACCAGACAAAAATCCTGGAAATTAGAAAGAAAGAAGAATGGTAGGTGCCCCAACTTTGAGGTTTCAGTTCCAACGAAAACTAAAAAAAGTATGGAGAATAGAAAAGGATCAGTTCAGAGACAATTCACTAGAAATCAGAGGATGGAGCCAGGCATACTTCTCATTAATGACCAAACATTCCAGGAATAAACCTGCATTTCAACAGAATAGAAGGCTCTGCCTATAGGCTAAAGTTGCCACTTTTTAACTACTTCAACATAGAATTCGAATAGCAAGCAATTAGGTGAAAGAAACAAGCACAAAATTACAGGAATAAGAAAGCAACAGAAAGTAGAAAAACGCATTAAAACACCCAAAATATGCAGCATAGATAGAAATTAGCAAAGAACAGTTTTTACCATCATAGCTGCTACTATCAAAAGTCTGCTGCAAATGCCTCCGCATATCATACGCCCGAGACGAAACCCGTTTCACAAACTCGCTGGAAGTAGTTGGAATCGTACCGTCCAAATGAAGCGCCATTTCAACCTCCTCTTTCTCACCATAAACATCATCACCACAATCATCTTCTTCTTCTCTCTCGTCCCCACCGTTCAATTTGCATTTACAATAAAAAACTCGACTCAGTCTCCCTTTAGAAGAAGGCACGCTAAAGATAGACGAAAAGCGAGGAAATTGGTTATTGGTGGCGAAGGAAAAGACAGCTACTTGAGGAGGACGATGCCGTTGCATGGGCAAAGGGTTGCTCGGAGGAAGAATTATAGATGGCGAGACTGACGACAGGGAATCCATGGTTTTTTCAATTGTGGGTTTCTTTTTGGTGAGCTTTTGAAAGCTTGGGCTTCTGTTTAAGCAGCTTTTCAGGTTAATCAGCTCGTCTAACCCAAGGCGTCAAAGACGGGAATTTCTTTGCCGTGGAGAACTGTGTAGACAGTAAGCTCGGGAGAAAGGAGAAGGGAAGTTGGGTTCCTCAATATCTGACGAATCTGGCAGATTTTTTCTCTTCCGAGGTGGGTCCAGCCCGAGGTGCTAGGAGCTAACCGTGTCTAATCCGAATCAACCCAACCCACCCAATCTGACAGTGCAATGCTTTCACCAAAGGATGGCCCATTCTTGAATACAAGAATATATGTGGCCAAGAGTTTCACTTAATGGATTTACATAAAAGGAAAACCGATACAGATTGTTAAAGTAAATATACATTACATATCAGTTCAACATCACACAATGAGGAAGTATCAAATGGGTGGATGCGGTCATTATATGGCTAAAATGTATACATACAAGTGGCAGAAATAGCAACAAAGAACAACCATAAGTGGCAAAACGGTTCAAAGATTCATTAGCGATGTGAAATCTTGTAATAAAGGATTACGATGATTGCAACGACAAGAGCAACGATTATTGATACGACGATCCATTTGTTCTTGGTAATCCTCCGTGACATGGTGGTTAAAACTTTCTTACTCTTGTCAATGGCATTATCGACCTCATAAAGCTGCAAAAGAACAACAAGAAAGAAAATCAATAATCAACATCCCATGTACTTCATCATGTGTGTGCATTTAGTCTTTGCTCCCTCCTCAAGAAGTGATATGAAAAAAAATATATGGTATGTATAAGAATTTTGATCAGAATAACACCTTGTCATGGGCATGTAGGAGAGTCTGGCGCTGTTGATGTAAATCTTCAAGGATAGACACACCAAGCTCTTCTGTCTCCAGAATAGTTCTTCTACTCTCCTTAATTCTGTCACTTGACTGATTTAGTCTCTCCACTGACATTGATAATCTTTCTCTTTGCTCAGCCGAAACCTGTTCAATCAGTCACTGCCCAGTTAAGAAATTTTCCAAATAGGTTAACTGTTAAAAATAAGCATTCACATTTCATGCAGAATCATTGGCAAGTCAAACATATTTAGCAGTCATCAAAGGGTGATAATGAAACTTCGACAAACTGAGAAAAGTAGTGTTTGAAACTGATAAAATGAGAAGGTATGAACAATTCTCATAATCCCAAACTATCAACAAATACGTTTATCAAATTCCACCATCCCTAACTAACAAAAACAGCATCCCCAGTGCACGAGGCACACCCATTGCAAGGTTTAGGGAGGTCCAGATATATGCAGTCTTCCCCATGCTTAACAGAGAAGCTGCTTCTGTGAGACAGTGGCTAAACTGTGACCTCAAGATCAATGGAGCAACCTTATGATTGCACCAAGGCTCACCCTGTCTCCCCCAACTACACCATGACCACAGAATGGCGATGCAGCAGGATTATCAATACAGCAATATTAGCTTCTGAAAACGAATTCCATGCAGCAGCATATAAAACGGTGGACACAAGTTACAGTAGATGCATAGAATTACATTAAGTGATCATTTCTCAAACATCCTAAATTATGTGATCAAATCAAACACAGTTTCCCTGAGAGAAATTGATAAAAGATATAGCACAGGGAAAAAAACGAGACGATGATAAATGATCCAGAAATTACCGAGTGAGCATCAGCCATCCCAGACTCCAACAACTCATCATGAGCAGCCTGATTAGCATTAGGTGAAGAAATTCTCTTGAATTCCCTCTTCAACTTATTCAGATCAGCCTTATATTCCCTTAATTTAGCAAGAAGTGCTGCCTTTACCCCTGGCTGCAAACTCCTTGCCTCCAGGTCCATTTTCCGAATCTACCAACAAAAGCGAAATCCAAATCAAGATCACACAACAATCGAGAAAAAGAAAAAAAAAAAAGGAAAGAACAAAAACAAACATATCCTTCGAACACAGTACCAGGACATCAGCCTCATCAATCGCAGAATTTATCTCGGAAAACTTCTGCTTCTTCTGTTCTGCAAAGGGTTGTAACACCATAAAGAACTATATTAAAAAATTTCCTTTTTGAGGGGTGGAGGATTGAATGGATTGAGGAAGTACCTGCATCGAGAATAAGAGAAGCAGAATTGCATTTTTGGGACAGATTGGCTGAGAGTTCACAGTACTGTCGTTCATACCCTTCGAACACCTCACTCATCTTCAAAATTTTTCAGACAAGATTAGATCACCCAAAATGAAAAGCCAAAGATTTAGATCCGATTGGAGAAAAATGTTGTAGGTTGTTGGGGATTTAGGTAAGAAAATCTAATTCTTATCCCACTGTTTGCAAAGAGAAGAGGAAAGGAGGAGAATTATTTGACTATTCTTTTTTAAGGAACCGTAAAACTCAGACTGACAGAGATATAGAGATCTTCCCTGGACAGCTAGATTCTCTGTGTGTTTGTTCCTACTTTGTTGGTCGTCTCTTTTGAGCCTAAACGGTGCGTTTTATTATTTTCTTTTTTGTTTCTGAAAAAAATTTATTTTTGACCCATATTTATATTTCCAAAGAAATTTAAAAATTCTTTTTGTGGCATCGGGTGAGATGAATAAACAAACGAAAAAGAACAAAATGTTTATAGGAGTGCCATTTCTAAACAAATATACTAGGAAGGCCAAACGAAGCATGTCTATGGGGAAGGGAGGACGACAGGACCTCAAATGGGAGATTAGTAAAAGTTGAAAAGTGGAACCTTGAACTCTTTTTCTTCCATCGAAGATCGAATTATGAAAAATTCTTCATAATGGGATGATCATCCAGAAAGATTACTTCAGATGGGAGTTGGTATCCAACCATAACAACCGTGTCCTTGTCTTCACCATGGTCACTGTACACAAAAAAAGCCACTGGTTGCAGAGCCAAAATTTTATCTATGAACGAGCATTTTCTGGAAAATTCAGTGATGCAGCACAAGTAAAAGTAGCATGAGAACAAAATGATTCATTACCATTCCAAGTAAAATCTTCTAATTCTATGCTTCTATACATCTATGAGCGAAGGGAATTTATAGGGTTACATCCAGAAGATAGAAGTCGGATTTTTTCCTTCCAGATTTTCCAACTAATCGAATAAATCGGATTAATCCTTCCCTCCGACTGCAAAGATGGGGCAATATTATTCACATGTAGCCATGTTAGTTCCCACAAGCTATCTCCACCTAGAACACTCCTCTGCACGAGTACTCCCCTTGTCTTCATTACAAGCAAGGTGTTCTTAAGTAGCTCAAGCACTAGATCCTGAAGCTTCTTACTTTTCTTACCTCTGATTTTCACCTTCATTTATTTATACATTCGTCTGAGCACACCAAGCCATAGTTTGCAGAAAGTAGTTAAACGTGCAAGCTCATGGAGTAACTGTAAAAACACTTTGGATTTTCATTTAAAAAAAATTAAAAAAATTTCCATAATTAAAATATATTATTACTAATTTACAATGATACAGCAGTGATTTTAAAAAATCTAGACAAGTGCCAAATGGGGGTAATATATTATCTTTTCTGTGTCCTCGTTAATCATATGTTAACGATACTTTCAGAAAAAGGAAAACAAACTAGTGATAAAATTTTTTTTGGCCAGATGTGTGATAAAACTTAGGTCAAAGTAAAACCAAATTAAAAAAAGGTGTAAAATTAAAAGATATACTGGCACAAACTCTAGCACATTCACAGAAAGGGCAATCTGGCATCAATTCTAGTAAAATATATGACAAATTGCAAGATTGTCTGAATCAACTCCACATATTTGAATCAAATGTTCAGCCGCAATACCATTAAAAGCTGAAACACTAAAACTCTTAAATATCTAGCAGCCACTTGTGTCACTGAACACTAATTTGTTTCAGGCTAGAAGTGAGTAGCAAGCTATATATAAGCAATGCTAAATCTCGAACCCTATGCCATTATCTTAGCAGACCTCACATAGAGGCTATCTACAACCTTGCCAATGTTGGAGATTGTTTCCAATGTTGCAGGGTAGATGGCATCAGTCTTGGGATCGTCAAAGATGACGAGACATCCAGCACCCTGATCCAGAGTCCCTGCAAACTTCTTATCCAGAATCATCTGAGAAAGTTTCTTCTCCACATGATCTACAGGCAATTCAATCAGTTCAGCAATATGAGCGATTTCAACCCTTGAGAAAGGCTCAATCAATCTGCAAAGGTTCTGCTCCAATAGGGTGTCGTACAGGGAAGAAAGGTGCCTGTGAACAATAGGATCTTCCTCTAGTTGGGCCCTGAAATCACGAAGAGCAATCTCAAAAAGCTTCAGGGAGCGTTTTGCATGGGCATCAGCAACAGCTTTCATGGCATCAAGTTCAGGCCCCAAATACTGTAGCCCTGCCTTGGATGATATTATACCAGCAACATCATCAGCCTGGCTCACCATTATCTTGCACAACAACATATACTTGAGGCTAAATACCGCACGAGGATCTTCAAGAGCATTGAAAGCTTCAAATGCTTCAAAGAAATAGCTATAAGCAGTTTTGTAATCCTTCTCCTCTGCATGGAGAATTCCACTCTGCAAATCTATAGTACCCTGTTGAGCAGGAGGCACATAAATTGCATTTGCTGCTGTTCTTGCAGCTGTTAGAGATGCCTTGGCTTTAGGCAGGTTTCGAAGAGAGAAATGAAGCTTACTCTCCAACAAATCTATGTCCACAAGAAGCAGCTTGTCATCCAACCTTCTGACCTCCTTGATTAGGCCAGAAAGGAGATTCAGTGCTTCTGAGTACTCCTTGTTCTCCATCAAAAGAGCTGCAAGCTTTGCTTCAACTCGTTGACGTAGGAAGGTTCGCTTCTCAGCACGAGTCCACTGCACCACTTCTTTGCAAAGTGATATCTGGAGATCTGATGTTCCTGGTATTTTAGCTACATCATCAATTATACCACGGACAATTTTAGCAGTTTTTGCCTTTGGAATTAATGCAAAAAAGGGCCTCAATTGGGTCAGAAGGCTTCTGAGCTCCTCTGCTCGGTTCTCCTGTCTAAGAAGATCCGAGAGATTTGTTATGGCCTGCTCTTTAATCCGCAGAGCGTCAGGAGCAGATGAAGGATTTTCTAGTACACGATAGAGGATTGAGATGGCTTCAGATGGTGTGTTGGCTTCTAGGGCCTGAGCAATTGAATCAGTGGTTGCTGGAAGATACGATGAAGACATTGTAAATGCTTAGAAAAAACCTGCAAAATCAACAATTCAATTTGACATAGATGAACTTGCATAAATAATTAAATTCCAGTAGAAAAAGGGCTACAAATGTCAACAGACCCAAGAAGTTTCTAGCTACTTTGACAACATAGATTGCAGCCGTTTTAGTTAGTAAATCTTATATTGAACCAACTCACTGAATACAACAGTCAAAGGGAATTTAATAGCAACTAATTAAATTATTTCATTACTCAAGACAAAGACAAGCATCATCAAACAACTCGCCTTTTTTACAAAGCCAGAACTATTTTTACAAGCCAACTCCAACCTTCACAGGGCATAAAACCTTTCATCCAAAATTTTGAAAACAAGAAGTTTTATTGTTCAGTCCCTTTTGAACATGTTTTACCACAAATCAATGTCTGTTGTCCCATGTGCCATGTCAGAGGTCTAATAGAAACTAGTGTGAAATTAGCAACTCTTTGGACAATAGACACTACGATCTACATATCTGCAACTACAAAGCATGTAACTTTCTATAGATATCAACATATCGCAAAAGAACAAGAATAAAGAGCACCAGGGTTCTTTTTCCTGATCTCTACTTACCTACTCAAGTTTCACTTCAGTAAGGCTCAAATAAATATGAAATGTCAATGTAGTTTCTCACAGAAGAAACAGCCATGTGAGATTAAAACAAAGTGCTAATAAGCACCCCCAAGTTACAAAGCATGTAACTTGCTATAGGTATCAACATATCTCTCTCAACTCAAAAGAATATAAGAGTAAACGATGAAGGATTCACTTTGCGCTCCCTTTCCACCATTCAAAATTTATTTTTACCAATGATCTTCGATCAGGATATAATAAAGAGAACAGTGCATAAGCTCTCTATTTTACTTTACTCTAATGTGATTTCCGTTCCCAAGCAACTCCTTTCCTCTGGTATCATCTAACCTCCTCAATTTGCACCCCTTTACCCCATATCTTTACCTTCAGAATTCCAAACACACTGTCCACAGTGCAATGAAAACCTGACTTATTAGTAGACTTGGCAATTTGTGTATTTGTATCGTATAAAATACTAAAATTCTGTATTTACCATATTTTTATACAAAAATTACGTGTCACAATTCGTGACACGAAAACTTAAAATACTTTTTTTTTTGTTTTGTTAAACTCATTTATAGTTATTGTTCAAATTTAAGGTGTGTCCTTGTGTCTTATTTTCATATTGTGCTCGTGTGGCACCATTTTATCGTGTTTTAGATTGTGAGGTTTACTTCATAGCAATAGCCACCATATGATATGTTCCAAAGGACAAATTAACACCCACTTAGAACCTTGGAACTAACCAGCAGAAACCTATGAAGCTGTTCCCATTGACCACGAGGATATAAATCTGACGCACGCACAAAAAATAAAAGAAACAATATTTATTTAATTTATTAGGACACGGATCGACAACCGAAATTGGAACAAAAAAAAGGAATAAAACAGCGCCGATGACAAATCGATGGTGGCGACGGCGGCGATGGGAAACGGCACCGCCTTGACCACAGAGATACGAGTTAACTAGGAGGAACAGCAAAACGTCGAAATCAAACAACAAGAGAACATTTCAAAGAATAATCATAAAAAGAACTAAATCACAAACATAAATTCGGCAGTTAAAGAAAATTAGCACATATATCTTGAATCTGATGGGAATTTAAGGGGAAAAAAGAAACAATCAAAAGTTATCCACGACAAATCAAATCCCTATAGTAAACTGAGTGAATCGTACCTCCCCGAGAGAAGAAAATGGATGAATCGATCTGTTACTGAGTCACACGCTTCCTTTTTAACTCAGATTGCACTCTTTAGGCTGGAAGTAGTTCACCTTTTTCTTTTGGTCCAATCCGAGTTCGTCTCACAGAAACGGTCTATTGAAATTTGCTTTGTAGGATTTTGGGCTTTTAACTGAATTTGGGCTTCCCGTAGGATTGCTTACCCTACTTTAAAAAAATGATTTTTTTTTTTTTTTTAGTGAAAGTTTATTGCGCTTGTATTCTGAAGTAAATAATTTTTCTTTTCAAAGTTCGGACGTAAAATTTAGGAATCTTTTTTATCTGAGATTTTTTGGTGTTCCTTGTTCATTTTAAATTTTGACTAATCTAAAATCGAATTGAGTCAAACCTTATAAAAAAGATAAATTTTCATAAATATATTCTTTTTATTTATAAAACTCAAAATTAAAAATTTATTTTAAAAAAATTGAAATCTTACTTAAAAAAATTAAACTACAAATATTAATATACTTAATATTTGATTTAACGATAAATACATGTATTTATTTATTATTAAAAATTTAATTTAATTTTTAAAATTAAAAATATAATAATAAAAATATACTTTTGAACCGTAATTTTATAGATTATGATTTTATAAGCAAGAATCGCACTTTTTTCATTGACATTTTTTTTTAAAGGATAAAATTATAACAAAAGGCCTTCGAGTTTTAGTGTAAAATATCTTATAATGTATGCAGTTTAATAATTTTTACATTAATAGTGTTGATTCATTGTATCAACAAACATGTTTTATCAATCCATGAAATTTAGATTACGAACTTTGTATGATGTTTCAAAATTGTTGTTTATTTCTATCTTGAAATTTACTTTTCTTAATTTTTTATTTTATTATTGTCATATTTATTTTGCTCTCAAAAGTCACAAAGAAAGATTAAAACCAATTACCATATGTACCAATATTTTAAAATTTGCATCCTATTTGAGTTGATTAGTAATGGAAGTCACATGTTCATTGCAATAGTTGCATTCGGGAATCTTGCAATATCCCCATTAATGTGATTGACTCATGGTTGTTTTTTACCACTACTGTTTTTCCTAGGTATAGCAGAAAGCACACTTTTTTTTTTTAATTAAGTTTTGTCTTTTAATTAGATATTATAATTTACATATTCATAATATAAATATTTTATACAAAAATTATATATTTAAATTAATGTCAGAAAAACATAAAATATATATATATTTTTTATTATTTTTATATTATATCAATATATCGTATTTTAAATTATGAACTGATCTAATTATATAATTATGTATTTTACAACATAAAAAGAATATAGTAATACTCATCTATTTGTATAAATATGTAGTATTAGACTGGTATCTGTGTTTCTTTTGCTTATACAAAAGGATATTGTGAAATTCATATAAGCTGACTCAAAATTACAAAGAAATCCTGAATTAAAATGGTTCCATGTTGCTCAATGGGCAGGCCAAATGGTCAGTCAGCTGACTCGAAACACTGGAACCCTGCGTCGTGCTGATAATAGCTCATTCATCTGAGCAATTTGAACCAACAGCTGGTTGATCTTCTGCACCATGAAAATTGAAAATGAAGAATGAGTTATAACATATTTAATTATTCATCAAATGTTGTACTTGGAGCCCAACTCTTATGACTCTGACTAGCAATGGAGAAATCAGGAAAACATTAGAATTTCTGAGTAGGAAGTTGATGCAAAACCTGGTCTTTCTCTTGAATCAAGAATATCAATCGATCCTTCTTATCTTCCTTGATTCTTGCACGCCATTTCCTAACTTTGGCATACATCAATGACAGCAACACAGCTGCTACGGCTCCAGTAACTGCCCCAACTGGCCAAAACCCCCATCCAAAGGCCATATGACATCGAACTCTAGCACCAACTTTCACAATCCAATTAGTCAGGATTTTACCAATCTCGTTTGTTTTCTTCAAAGGCCGTGAATTTGCTTCATCCCCGGTAGACGACCAAGAGCCCACTGATGAATTTACCTCTGATTCATCATGGACATGAACTTCTTCTTCTTCTTCTTCTTCATCATCATCATCATCATCGTCTGATGTTATTCGTAATCCTTCATGGCGGCTTGGAGGGAAGACAGACAAATCATGTTGATGTTGGGGATGGTTGTCATGTTCCCCTGATGTTGTTAAGGGAGGAGTTGAATATGTTGGGGCCTGGATTTGCTCCCAGTCGCTGAAGCCATCTGATGCCTCGGCTTCATCCATGTTTATCTCTCAAGGTTGGTGTCACTGGGTGCTGAAATACCAGGTTCTCTACGTTTATCCACTTAGCCTGTAGCATTCAACTTGGGTAAAAAATCTGCTTCGAGGGCACGAAATATCTCTAGCGGAAGGAGGCTTGAAAATGTAGGAATTGACTGAATTGTTGTTTTTCATGTCCAGTCCACTTCAATCAGTGAACGACGGAGCTTCGTTTTGGGTCTTTCGTTGCAAGAATTTGAGGATGTTGTGGGCCACGGCTCCTTTCATCGATTGAAATTTCTTTTTTTTTTTTCTAATATAACTGTTGAATTTCCTTGATGGTTTTGTTTAATAGGAAGGATTGAAAATTTTTTTAATTTAATAATTTTTATAGCTACACTTTTACTTTTAAGCTTGGTTATTGGATTAAAATTTTTTTTATCTGCCTAATTCTTTCTTTCTATTTACCTAAGCAGGTAAATGTCATTTATGCTGAGTTTATAGAGAATTGGTATGTTTTGAAGGAGAAAAATTTAGACGAAATTTTTTAAATAAAGATTGTGAAAATTTTTTATTAAAAATGATTGAATAAAAATTAAAATCAAAAATCAAAATTGATATATTAAAATATTTTATTATATAGATTAAGTGGACAAAATTATTTTAACAAATAAATATATTTTGATATACTTTTTATATATGCCTTTTTGGTGAAAATTTTGATATAAGTTTTACGGTTTGATAAATACATATCAAATTTGTATTATAAATTATATTTTTAATAGCTTTTCATATATTATTAATTTTATCATTAAATTTTATCAATTTATCGATTTAAATTTTTTTATTAAATCAATTTTTAATTAAAAACTTTTCGAATTTAACCTAATGAATTTTATCTAAGTATTGTCCTGATTTAAGGTATTTTTCATTAAAAGTAAGCCCATAATTGTTGAAGCTAAGAGATAAACCTTTATGCTATTATTATTTTTCCACAAAATTAATTTATTAAGATATACAACATCGATGTTTATATATTCAGTGATTTTCTTTTTCTTATTTAATATTAAATTGAAGCATTCTATATATTATCTTAAAGCATTTGGCATGACATTCACTTATATGATAAATTGAGAAGGTTTTTTTGGATTATTTTGTAACTACACTTCGTCACAATTTTAGATTATATTTATTGGATTCAATAAACTAAAGGCTCGAAACAAACCTAAGTTCAGGAAATCCATACAAGAAGAATAGTTCAGTGAGGTTTTGGGAATGTTATCTAAATGCATCAATCTTAAAAATGTCACTTGTACATAATTTTTCCTGATTAAATATATCACTTGCTCTGTGTGTGATATTTTGGCCTATGTCGTGCATTGGACGTATAAAAACCTCCAAATAAGAGGATGAATATTAAGGATTAATTTGGATTCCACCATGTTCCGAATTTACTGTATTATTAATTGAATTTAAATAATAATTTTAATAATTTTTTTTATTAAAATTAATATTTTTAATTTTATCAAAATTAATTTTATCATCGATCCAAATGAAATCTAAAACTATTCCTATGTTGCAGCTATTTTTTAACTTTTTCTATTTTTTTGTCATTTGAATACTTAATTGAGTATTAAAGTATGTTTCAAATTACAATTTTGATTCATCAACAATATTTTTTTAATATAATTTTATTATAATCTCTTGATTTAATGGATAAGAAACTTAAAAAAACAAATTGTTAGACATGGGTTCATTCTAGCAATCCCTATCCCCCTTAATCCTGCGAGCCAAAAAAAATCTGCCCAAAATCAAAGAACTTGGCGGGTAGATTGACTGGTTGTTGCCTCATTCATTTAGTCAGACGGTTGACCTAAACCAAAACCCACCAACCAAGTCGTTATTTATTTATTCAAATTAAATAAATACAAAACTCCTAAAATTCTTTCCTTAATCACCGTAAATCCCTTCTCAGTTAAAAACAAAAGCGAGAAAAAAAATAATCCCAACACGAAAATGGAACAGTGTTTAAATATAGTCCGAGCGAAAAGACACAAAAGGACATCTTTGGTAATTTAGTGGTGGAAGAAGAAGAAGAAGAAGAAGAAGCCACTGCAACAAGCAAGCTCGCATTAAGTGTAGTTTCTGGCTTTAGATCTTGCCTTTGCAACCAAACAGTCCAAACTTTAACAAGAAAAAGGTTCGATTAATCTCTCCAATTCTTTTTTTTTCGTTGTCAATTGCTGAGTTTTAATTTTCGAAAATTTTGATTTCGTCTCTTTTTTTGTCTTATAACTGCTGTAAGTCATGAGCATCAGTGAAGATAGCTACGCTTATGTTTGTGATTCGTTGCAATTTGAGTTGAATAATTGCTCCATTTCAAATTTGAATACATGAGATTTGTCGAGCTTGCTTTGCTTGTTTACGGTTCTTTGATTGTTTGTTTTTGGATGGAAAACTTGATTGGTTGCATTTTTGGAGATCCAGGAATGAGGAAATGAAGTATAAAAAATTAGGCACTGCCATCTAAAAACTGTATACAGGAAAATTAGAGGACATTAAAATTACTAATTGGCTTTTAGATACAAGATTTTTGAGGTCTTTTATTTTTTGTAGCATTGAAATTGTTCTCGACATATGAAACGCTCTATCATTCTGCTTTTTTTTGCAATTTATCATTTCTGCATGTATGAAATGAAATCTTGCAAACTGGTTTTTTTTTTTTTTTTTTATTTTTGCTTATGGTGGAGAGATTGTTGTGAAATTCATTTTTTTTGAAAAGTTTTATTTGGATATATAACAGAATTGCCTTCTTCTCGGTGCAGTTTTGAGTTTGTATAAGCCATCTTTTTGAAGGGTTTGAACTTGCTTTGAAGAAATGCTTGTGTCTGCTTTACTCACATCTTTGGGAATAAATTCTGGCCTTTGTGTATTATTCTTCACATTGTATTCAATATTGAGGAAACAACCAAGTAATTATGAAGTTTATATACCACGCTTTCTTGCTGAGGGGAGCTCTAAGCGGAGAAGTCGTTTCAACCTAGAAAGACTAATACCATCTCCTGGTTGGGTCAAAAGGGCATGGAAGCTATCTGAAGAGGACCTCTTGTCAACCTCTGGCTTAGATGCTGTTGTCTTTATGCGTCTTATTACCTTTAGGTGAGTGGTTTCTTTCATCAGGAAGTGTTTTTTAGCATCAAGAAGAAAATCTTAAGATATCATGTGATTTTTGCAGCTCCAATAGGTAAGTCAGTATATGGATTTTTGCTTATACATTTGCTTGTATACTTTTGTTATTGTTTCCTCGTTTTTGCAGCTCCAATCGTGCTTTTCTGACTCAACCTCATGTTTGTTATTTGCTCTTAATACTGCAGTTTGAGAGTATTTTTGTTTGCTGGGGTTATTGGGATATTTGTTCTTCTTCCAGTTAATTGCACAGGAGATCAACTTAACGATATTGATTTTGCTGATTTGTCAAATAATTCTTTGGATGTGTTTACCATTTCAAATCTAAACAGTGGCTCAAAAAGGTAAGTTCTAGTGTAATCTGATAAGTTGAACTTTGATTCTACGTATCTACTTGACTTAACGAAATGGATGGATGCCTTCAAAAATTAACTATAACCTTCCTCAAGAAAGATTATTTTATGCTCTTGAGTTTTCATTACATGTGAAAGAAACCCGAGAGAGTGAATTATGTCATAAGAAAGATAATGTTTTTATGTTCTTGAGTCTTAAAGAAATGGTGATTGTCATTTAGAACCTCAAAGTTTTTATCTTTATTATATGCTTATGGCCTAGGCAAGTGCGAAGGAAAACTTACTAGTTTTGGCTTTTTTGGCAGGTTGTGGGCTCACTTTTGTGCTGTGTATCTTGTCACTGCATTTGTTTGCTATCTACTCTATTATGTAAGTCCACTTCTCTGGACCAAAGAAATTTGATTAACAGAATTCAACTTCCTCGAAGCCCTTGGTCTATTATATGAAGTTTCAAGTCTTATGTTTGTTATACAAGTAGAAGCCTTATTTATCCTCAATGTCACAGGGATGCTAATTTATAGAACTTAGTTTGGTGTTACTGATCATTATTCTTCTCTCCTTGTAAAAGATTTTGGAGCTGTTTAAGCAATTATATTGAACTGGTTACTGATATTTTCTGCAGGAATATAAATATATAACTGCAAAAAGGATTGATTTTTTTCACTCAACCAAACCTCAGCCACATCAATTCACCATTTTAGTACGCGGTATACCTGTTTCTGCTGGGAGCAGTGTTAGTGAGAGTGTTGAAAGCTTTTTCTTGGAGTATCATCCTTCTACATACCTTTCTCATATGGTTGTTCATCGAACAAGTAAACTTCAAAGTCTCATTGTAAGAATTTTTTTTTTTTTAAATTTTTTTATGTTTTCATTTACCCATGTTCTTTATTTTCTCTTTAATTCTTTTTTAGTTCTTTTCTTCTTTGTGATAAATAAACATAATTGAGCAATTTTCTTTTCATGCCTGTGGGTTTGTTGCCATGCCATGTATGGTTAAATAGTCTTCTAGTTGTGCTGGATGTATCCTGTCTACATTTTTTTTTTTTTGAGCAAGTCAAGTTCCATCCCTCCCTTCCATGTTTCTAACAGTTATTTCATTGTTCTTTCTTAATCCCTCTCAGAAGGATGCAAAAAGATTGTATAAAAGGCTTACCCACTTACAGTCAGATCCCAATCAGCAGAAGTATAGGCATGTTGGGTTGTTTGGACACAGTTGATCTGGTGGATCATTATGAAAAGAAATTAGAAGACATAGAGGAGAATCTGAGATTAGAGCGATCTGAAGTTTCATTGGCAGCAGAAGTATGTGCTTGTACCTTCTTTTTTTCTTTCTTTTAACATTGGTCTTGTTATATTTTCCAACTTTTGTCAGAATCTTATCTAGTAGTCTGAATGCTTCAAAAAGCTCTTAATTTCTGGATATTTTGTTTATGCTCACATTTATCTAAGTGCTTAAATTATCAAAATATAAATTATGATTTCTTATTGAAATAAAAGGAACATGTAATGCAAACAATTTAATGAACTCCAATAAAATTATCTGTGTAATGCATTATAAAAGGCACTAGAGTTGGCTTTTGAACTTCTGGTTCTATATACGGCAATTGACTTTGGCTGCATAAGAAATTCTGAAAAGAAATTTGTGAATCTAATGATTTTATAAGATGCAACTGAGGTGACACTAGTAGATGGACCCTTCAGTAACTGTAGAAATCAAAATGAGGGAATACTGAAAATTGGTGGTTGTTAGATTGCTAGAGTGATCACCAAAGATACTACAAATGGATTTTATTCACAGAAGTGATATTTTCTTTTACTGTCTGTCCCCAAAAAATATGATAAAACTGGAAAAAAAAAAAAAAAAGGATGTTTCTATGATGGTTTTTTCGTTCCTGATTTCCCTTTCTAAATGGATTTCCTAATGTGCAACTGTGCTGCGCTTGCTATGGTTTATGCTGGCTCATATTCTACTTCATTCTTGTGGCCATTTATTTTTTAAGACTAATTTGTGCCAAAGAACCTAAAAGGTAGTTATAGAGTGTTTATAACCTCAAGTGAATCAATGATATACACATAAAATTACATCTTAACTTTGCAATTACTTTGGTTTTAAATTTTTTTGTGGTGCGTGGAGTATCCTATTGATGCATTTCTTATTCAATGTAAAAGGAAGTTCGAGCAGCTTTTGTCTCTTTCAAGTCTCGGTATGGTGCTGCAATTGCTTTCCACATGCAACAATCAACTAATCCAACACAGTGGGTTGCAGAGCAAGCTCCTGAGCCACATGATGTCTACTGGCCTTTCTTTTCATCATCATTCATGAGACGATGGCTTTCTAAGATTGTTGTTATTGTTGCATGTATTTTCCTGACAATTCTATTCCTTATTCCTGTTCTGGTTGTGCAAGGTCTTACTAACCTAAATCAGTTGGAAATTTGGTTTCCATTCTTGAAAAGCATTCTAACCATGTAAGTGGCAGTTTAAGAGCTCCAGCTTATGTCATTTCACCATCATTCCTGTTTTTAATGTTTTACTGCCGCATGTCTGTGTTGCTGCCCAAGCTTTCTCCTTGTAAATCTGCCAGCAAGCTGTTTCTACATTCTGCAAAGTTACATCTTTCTTTTCTTTTCTTATTTTTTTTTCAAGAAAAGAAGAGAAGCCTTTGAGAATTATAATAGCTAAATTGGATTGCTTCAATTGATAATATCAGGCAGAACCAGATTATTGCAATTTGTAGATGGATGAAATTAATCTGTTTAACTTATAAATTTTTGCATTAATAAGGAGTAAATGTCCTGGTTCCTTCTGTTGTATTGAGAGAGAGGGAAAAAAAAGCAAGATTGATGTTGTGGCTTTGCTACTGAGAAGCAGCTGATATCTGGTTATAATTCTGTTCTGCAGTTCATCTTTTAGACCACCTTTGTTAATGGTAGTCAACCTTGATTCTGTTTACCGCTTTTTTAGGCATGCATGTTCACACTTCCCTCGTTGTTTCACTTGTTTGTTGAATAATTGATGGAATATATAAATGCAGTCATGATGACCAGATTAAAATTTTACTTCTTTGTCTCATGTCATTCAAAAACCTTACTTCTTTTTGCTGTTTCTGATCTATTCTTCAAAGGAGAGTAAATGGTGTAACCTACTATTTCATTGTATATTTTTATACTTTCACAATTTTATTAATGCTGATTAATCAGAAGATTGCAGAATAAATACTGATGATATTGTGTAGTTGCTTTTATATATACAATTTTTAATCATATTCTCTTATGCGCTGTAAATGTCAATATCTGAGCATTTTCATGTTATTTATCCTTCTTTATTCATTCGCTTAGTAATGCAAAGTTTAATTATTGCCTGTCCTGTTTGCAGAACATTTGTCAGTCAGGTAATTACAGGGTACCTTCCCAGCCTTATTCTTCAGTTGTTTCTCAAGATTGTGCCTCCAATAATGGAGTTCCTTTCCTCCATACAAGGATATATATGCCACAGTGATATTGAGAAGAGTGCGTGTAACAAAGTGCTCTGGTTCACAATATGGAACATATTTTTTGCAACTGTATTTTCAGGATCAGTTTTATATCAGATTAATATCATCCTTGATCCAAAGAATATTCCTGCAAGGCTCGCTGTTGCTGTTCCTGCACAGGTGAGAATACATTTTTCAGCAGAAAATTTCCTTGACAAGCTTTATCCAATATAATTGGGGAAAATGGAATGGTGTTGGAATGGTGTTCTTTCTTTAGTGCTACGTAGGGCATAACCGATGCAGGAGAATAATGTCTGAATAATTGCTCCAACTTGACTGACACTTTCTTCTTGATTGTGTGTATACTGATCAAGATTTCATTATAACATTAATATTATTGAATCCAATTTGAGGGACGATGTTGTAGATGAAAATTTGAGTCACTAAACTTAGGAAGTCACTGCAAGTAAAACTGGTACTGGAATATAATCTTACAATTGCTAATGTTTTTTATCTTATGGAGAAAAAAAATTAGAACATTCTACCGAAATGCTATCCACACATGGAAACTTGTCGAAAAAAAACATATTATAATGTTTATTTTGTTAGATAATAATTCTTACAAATTGCTAATATTTCCTTAACGTAGAAAGGCTGAAGAAGGAAACTAAACCTCAAGGAATGTGTTCCCTAAAAGGATGACTTGTCCTAAACCTAAAGGCAGAAACTATTAACATTTCTCCCACCGTGCATGTGCACTCATTCAACTTATTATATATGTTAATTTGACCTGTTGCTATGATACCATATTAATTTTCTGGGATTGTTGATAATAACAATGCTAATTCTTTCTGTAGGCATCTTTTTTCATCGCTTATGTCGTAACATCTGGATGGACAAGTACGTCATCAGAACTTTTTCGCATAATCCCCCTTATTTGCAGTCTAATAAGAAGACCTTTCAGTTGTTGCTTGGATGAAGAATTTGAAGTTCCATCTATTCCTTACCATAGAGACATTCCAAGAATTCTTTTCTTTGGACTTCTTGGAATTACATATTTCTTCCTTGCACCATTAATTTTGCCCTTCCTCTTGGTATACTTCTGTCTTGCTTATATCATCTACCGCAACCAGGTTGGTTAGCTATCTGACTTGCATTTTTTTCCTAATGTAATTTTTCCTGCGTTTTGTAATTGTCATATTCAAGTACGTCATGTTAAGCTAAGTTCTTTTCTTATATCAAAATTCACTTACCAGGTGAGATGAGTAATCTACAATGAACTAGTGCATCTGGTTAAGTTGCCATAGATAAAAAGGCATTACTTTAGTCTTTATCATATGTCACTACAATGTAAGGCTACTTTTTTGTATTGGTCAGTGGATGATAATATGCTGTAGATATAGCTGGCCTATGTGGTGCAATATGATTGCTTGATTAAAAGATTTTTTTGTAGTCAAACCTTTGGAAAAGAATATGGTTCTTATAATTATGTTGATACACAAGTGTGCTACAAATATACCTGCATTTCAAGATGATTATGGAAATAGTAAACATTGACTTATAAGCTAATTCTTGGGATTGCATGTGACTGCGTCTTTGAAAGATTAAGGTATGAAGTTTGAGTCACTGATCGAAAATTATAATTTATGAAGCCTTCAATATGCTCTTTGGTTATCATTTCTGTTTCAATTGTATGCCTTAGTTATTAATTCTCATGCAAATACATGAAATGAAGCAGCACATTTTAGTTTTTGACATTTGTATTTCACAATTTGTACAGATATGTGCTTTCTGGGATTAATCTGGACTAACTTGCATTAATCTTTAGCAAATTTATTATGCAGTTCATAAATGTATATGCACCCAAGTATGAGACTGCAGGGAAGTTTTGGCCTATTGTGCACAATTCAATGATATTTTCTCTCGTACTTATGCAAGCCATTGCAGTGGGAATCTTTACGCTGAAGAAACTCTCTCTAGCATCAACTTTAGTTTTTCCTCTTCCTGTCATTACACTTCTCTTCAATGAGTACTGCAGGAAACGTTTCTTGCCAAATTTTATCGCCTACCCTGCTGCGGTACATATCTTCACATGCCAAAAATATTGTATGCTTAATGAGTGATGGGATGGTAGCATCAAGTGTAACTATTCCTGCTCTCCTCACTCTCCCACACATGCACACAGAAGTCTTTTGGCTGTTGCTGTTAAATCCTCTATCTTGATGTTAACTTGGATTTTACTTCTTACAGGTTTTGATAAAGAGAGACAGGGAAGACAGACATGATCCTAAAATGGCAGAATTCTATGATAATTTAGTGACTGCCTATCAGGACCCAGCCTTGTTACCAATTCAGTTTTCTACAAATAGTGACAGTCTTAACAGCCCTCTTATATCAGCTTCTGAAGTTCGACATTAAGGTATGATTGTTTTTATTATTTATTGACCTAACTAGTAACACTATGATTTACCGCCTTTTCATATAGATTTTGCTTCTTGTGGCATCAATAATCACAGGTATCTGAGGAAAAGTGCACTTAATGTGCATAGGATCTATGCCTGTTTGCGTCCTCATAGATATACATGATTATTTGTGTAGTGGCATGTAGATGAACCATAAGCTATAGCAAAACCCACTAAGCTTGTCTCGGCAAAACAAATCTGACCTGACATTCCCCCAAATTTTCTTGTTAACAAAACCTGCTTATGCCATTAATCGTAAAACCATATTCCAGGTTGCTAGCTTATTTTTGGATGCTTAGATGATATCCACTCGTTCTCTGTATCCTCGTTGTTACTAGTTTATTGCATTCAGATCAAGATGGAAAGCAAAGTCATGTGGCCAATAGCTGAAGGTCCATCTCCAGCACAGGCTAAAACTTTTAGTGTCGTGTTATACTTGAACTTCTGCTGCTCATGCATCTTTCATCACCATTGTATCATCACAAAGAAAAGATTGATAGGAACTTACCCTTGCTGCACAGTTTTGATTACTTGCTATCTCCGAAATGGTTGAATTACAATATAAACGAGATTATAGCCATGGTTTGAAACTGACATTTGTATAAGAGAAGGAAAACATTTTAACACTCATTCAAATTATAAAGCATGGATAGATTTTTTTTCTTATTGTTAAGGTAAAACTAGAATCTTGGGTGGGTGAGTTAACTCAGTTAAAGAATGTTGAACTTTCTAGTCAATTAGGTGGGTTTGGAATAGTGAAGTCAAACATCTCATATCTTATTTGTTAGTATTTATTTATTTTGTTTTGCAAAATTTTTTAGTAAAAGCGATCACGCGGTTTTAACGATTTGATTTCTTGACAATATCAAATAAAAAGAACTCAAGGTTGTGAGCTGGGGCTCTCATCCCATTTGCCATATTTATTTACTCCAATAATTTTAATTTATTGCAACAAAGCGAAATTATGCCAATATTTAACTGGAATTGTCCTCGTAAGTATTAATCATGGATGGTAATTTCAAAGAAACAAAAGAACAGCACAAAAAACGCAACCCAGGAATATTACTATAGTATATTTCAAAGCATTGAGGGCATCTACTTTCGTCTCCTCTTTTGGAAATTTGCCCGCCATTTTTTGATCCATTCTCCGGTTTCTATTTTCCCAACTCCAAAGTTTTAAGAGCCTCAGCACTTTTTGAAACACATTTTTTCATTCTTAAGAAACGATTAGGTTTCTCTTTTCTAATTAACACTTGTTTTTCATACTTCAAAATTCAAATACAAAAATTATGCATCAATCATTGAATTAAATGTTCGAATGAAAAAAATAAAATATCATTAATTGTCAATACGAATGCTAATAAAAAAAGAAAGCTTTTTTGATACAGTGAAAAAAGATTGAAACTGAATCATTGAGACACGGTAACATTTAATAATTTAGAACAAAATGATGAGGAGATCAGTACATATGAAAACTGAAATTCAATCTTCTAACTAAGTCAAAGTAAAAATTTCACTTCAATGACTCTTTCCTTGTATTCTCCTCCTTCCGTGAAAGTGAAAGGTATGCATAAAATTCAATAGGAAAGCCGGACTAAGCATAGTACAAAGAAATAGCTACAACAAAGCCCTCACAAGTAATCATCCCATTGAACAGATTCCTAATCTGATCTCCCTTATAAGTACATTGACAGCAGCTGAGACAAGCAAGACAATGATGAAGTAGGAAACAAGGTTGATGGGGAAGAGAAAAGCAAGTGATGAAGAGAAGGCGACGAATTTGGGGCAAATGGTGATGGATAATGCTGCAGCAGTAGCAGCATTAGGTGGAGCTCGGCGAGCAAGAAAAGGATTTGTTGGGGTGAGGCAAAGGCCATCAGGAAGATGGGTAGCTGAGATAAAAGATACCACACAGAAGATTAGAATGTGGTTGGGAACTTATGACACTGCTGAAGAAGCTGCTAGAGCTTATGATGAAGCAGCTTATTTGCTTCGTGGAGCTAATACTCGAACCAATTTCTGGCCTTGTTCCCTATCTTCTCATTCCACACCAGCTCTTCCCTCGAAAATCGCCAATCTTCTCTTGCTTAGGCTCAAAGCAAGAAACAGTGCCGCTTCCATGGCTTCCAATTTGCTTGTTAACGATCAAGGGTATGAAGCAGGTGGAGGAGAGGAAATTTGCTTTGATGATTTCATCCATGTGCCTGAAGATTGTAGTATTGATATCAATAATTGTGAAACTTCTACCACTTCTACAATAACTACAATATTGAATTCTGCTAGTATTAGTGATTGCATGTTGGAGACTTTTGGGTCAATTGTTGCTGAAACAGAATATGGTGATGATCTCAAAGCAATTCATTTGGACAATAACTTGGGTAATGTTGGTAATGGCAACAATTATATTGAAGGAGCTGGGAGAGAGGAAAAAAGGGAAGGGTCGGAAGAAGAGAAGACTGATATGGGGGGTCTATCGGATTTTCAGCTCGTGGATGCTTTACAAGTATCCTGTTGCTGTTCTCCATTTGAGATAGCAGAGGAAATGGTGAATCTAATGGAGCAGCAAGAGAATATTTATGTGGATGAGCCGTGGATGCTTAGAGAGACGATGAAGAGAATGAAGTATGAACGGAAGTTCTCAGCATCTCTATACGCCTTCAATGGAATACTTGAATGTTCAAGGCTGAAGCAGAATGAATCAGAAAACAATGCCAAGGGAAATGACAAATTATCTCAACAATCTAACCTTATCAGAAACAACTATACCAATACAGAAGATGAAAAGAGAATCGAAGTAAAGGAAGAACATGATCAAGAAATATGGAGCTCCCTTGATCTTCCTCCTATCTGCTACATGAGTAATTAGTTTTGACTAATTTACCTACAGCCATGATTTATTCTCCATCTAAGGTCAATAAACAAGATTTCCAAGAACAACCAATGAAAAAAATAATGTAAGCTGATCAATATTCGATCAGATGTAATAACCATTCTTAATTTTAATAATGTTTCATCATCTCTTGGAGAGTAATGTTTATTTCATTCCCATACATACAAAGTCTTTCGTATGTTTTTTTTTTTTTTTTCTTTTGGCTTAAGGAATTGCTTTCCAATCAACAATTAATGAATATTTTCCATAATCTTAGCAACCATTGGATTATGATGATAAATACCCCAATTGCATGCATGTTCACTATTTTTTCAGTAAAAAAAAATATAATATGAGAATAAAAAAATTAGATATATTTAAATTTGAACACGAACATTATTACATAATCACATGAACTACTTAGCTAGACTAAGTTTAGGGTTCATAATTGCTAAAAATTTGCTTAAATAAGATTAAGAGATCAATTTCCAAAATAAGGAAAGCTTGTAAAAAAGATTAGGATGTTGACTTTTGATCAGAGTCTAATGGTAACAAAGATGTAGCCTATACAATGTAAAAGGTACAGGGTACTTAGATTTGACACATATTTTCTGTCCTCCTACAAAGAAAGAAGAAGAAAAAGGAAAAAAATATAATAGGATTTTGTTATGATTAATTGTAATATTATTGTATTAAATGCAATAATAAAAAATTAATTTGATGAAATTTAGTAATTTATTAAATATATTATTTAGTAAAATACCCATATACTTTTATCATGGCTTTATAAGAATAATAATATATTAATGATCCACTTGGAGTGAGTTTTTGGTGATTTTAGTGTAAAAGCACAGATTGATCAGATCAATTGAATGAAATAATTGGACATAAATTTCCTTAAATAAATAAAAACAGAATGACAAGTGTTGCAAAACATGACAACATTGGAAACATGGGTCTTAATGAAGGAATAAATTAAAATGAGCCAATATTCAGAGAAAGATGATCATAATCATTATGTCTTTATTTTGGTCCAAAATCATCATTAAGACCTACCCTCTGATGATCAATTTTTAGTTTTGTTTAAAACAGTCAAGATATCAACTCAATTTGGTCAAGATTCTCTGAATTTCTCAATCTTCTCTTCATCTTTTCTTTCAATTTTCATTTGCATTAAGATTAATTATGATCTAAGAAAGAGAAAAAAGAAATTTTCCCATTAAAAGAGAAAAGTTATTCAAACCCCAAAATCTATAACATAATTACATATGATTTCTCCTCGTTTCAGTGCAAATCGTCAAAAGATCTTCTTCCTCTCCATTTGCCTAAATCATGTTCCCCATTTCCCCATTTCCATTGTTTAAACAAGCTTCTAATTAATTTTATTAATTGAGCTTTAATTACTTGTTGTCATCTCAGTTTTGAATTGAAAAGCTAGTTTGTTTAGCTTTATTCTGACAATCCAATTTTCATTTTCTCTAAGTTTTATATGCTTTACATGTAACATGCTAATGGTCATCACCAATTAATATTTTTATAACATGTTTTATTTTGCGTAATGATTATTTTTAAAAATAAAATATTTATTGATGTTTTTGGTATATATTATGATGATTATACAATTATAATTATGAAAATAACAAACTTGTTACGTAAAACTTATATAATCTTTAATGATTTTATTTTTAACATTAATAACATAAATTTTCATGAATAAATGTAATTTTTATATAAACATATTCTAATGATAGTTTTAATAAATTGTCACATGTTGAAAGAATTTATCAAAAAATAATTAATTTTACTTCACTTAATAATTTTTTACTTATAATAATTTATGTTAGATCGTTCAATCACTTTGATAACAAGAAAAGCGAGTAATTTAATATAATTGAGAAAGATTAAATAATTTTAAGATATAAATTAGTTATAAATATGCATATTAAGATAAAAGTTGAGAGAATACTAAATAAAATTATTATTTCAATCAAGGTAAATAATTTTTATGACAATTCGTGAGCACTTTCTGAATCATCTAATTCTGTAAGTAAAAACTAAATAAATTATTATTTCAATCAAAGTAAACAATTCTTATGGTAATTTAATAGAACCAAGCTTGAGTACCTTTTAAATTATCTAATTCTATAAGTAAAAATTTCAATTAAAATGTTCAATAAATCATATAATGCTAATTATTAGTAAAAGGGATGCAATTAATTTACATTTGATTTTATATTGGTTTTTGTTTATGAGAATAATAATTATAAAATTCTAGAGAAAAAATATAAAAAAATTATAGAGGTCAAACTAATTGTAGGAATAATACGTTAAAAAATTATTTCAAAGGATTAACAAATTTTAATTATGTTATCAATTAAAAAAATGATTAATTTATAAAACATATAAATAATAAAATTATTAACATACATATATAGTTAATATATTAAAATAAAAAATTGAAAGAAAAATAATAAAAAATTAATAATTATACTTCAATGACTTAATTATGATTATCTTTAATGAATTTATTTATCAATATAAGATACATATATAATTGTTTTATAACAATTAAATAAACAAACTTCATATAATTATTTTATTCCTATGCACACTAAGTTTTGATATCGTTTTATCTATATTTTCATTTGATAAGAAAAATCATTTTACTTATAAAAAAAAGTCTGATAATAAAAAAAAATCATTCAAATTAAAATGTATAAAAAATTATTGTTGATATTTTAATCGATATCTTTTAACATTTTTGAAATTAAAATTTTATTAAAAGCAGTTTAGTCAATCGATTTTTAGTACTTTTTAGTATTATTATAAAAAAAAGTTTAATAATAAAAAAATTCATTTAAATTAAAATTTATAAAAATATTTACTAAAATTATTTTAACCAATCACTTTTACCACTTTGAAATTAAAATTATAAAATTATAAATAATTTAATTTCATATAAACTCTATTTTTAATTTAATTAATTTAAATTAAACTTAAATAAATTGATAAAAATTATATATTTAAAAATAAATTTATTAATTTAAAAATTATAAAATATTTAAATCAATTATTATTTATATTTTTAAAATTTATATATTTTATATATAAACGATAAACGATATCCAACATACTAATATTCAAATTCTTTTGTATTCGAGCATGATAATCATTTCCTTCGATCAAACATGCTCTTATTACTTATTTTTTATTTTATTAATAATAAATAAGAATATCAATCAATCATAACTTTTCATAATTTATTCCGCTAATGGGAACCTTTGGTTCCCTTTGGATTTTCTTAAAAAATTTTAGTCTTTAATTTAAATGGGCTGATGTCACGTAAACAACTAGCTTAGCCACTAATGATTTGACCTTTTGTCGCAAACGCAACACTTTGGTCTCAATTCTATTTGGCTCTTTCTATGAATGTGAAAAATGCCCTTGCATTGCATACATTGATAGTAACACCTACCAAATTTATGTTTACTCCCACAAATCCCCTCCCACGCAATGCACGGAAAACAGAAAAAAAAAAAAAAAAGGGAAAAAAATAAATTATAATAATAGTAGTATGATGTGAATATGATGAAATTATGATGAACTGTTATGATTAGTTTCGATTGTTTTAATTTTTTTTTTGTCGATAAATCAATTTAATTGACAAAAATTCATCGTTTTTAATGTAAAAATTTAGAATTTAAGTTTAACGGATGATAATTTATTAAAATAATTTTGAATGCATAATTTTTAATTATTTATTATAATTATCGAATATAATATATCATATTTTAATAATTTATTTTAAATTATCGAATGTCATATATTTTATATTACTTTGAAGGTTGAATAATTTATTTATTTTAAATTTTTAATACAAAAAAATCCCTTTTTCTTGTCTGAAAACATAACCGAGCAGCTCTGAATCCATAACCAAAGGAACCTAAAAAGCAAGACATTGTTTCAATTTTGATGCGGCTGGGCGCTGCTGATTGACCAAAATTTAACCTTCTTTTCCCGTTGGCTGATAACTGTAAAGCTGAAACTCAATTGGGCAGCTAACTCTCAACAAAATTTTGATTGTGCCACATCTGGATTTGTGGGTACTCAAAAACCGTTGTAGCCGGATCAATCCTATTGCTTTTTTTTTTTTTTTGGTGTCAAATACTCTGATAAGGCTGGTGAAGATTTTTCACAAACAGAAGCAGGCTGAGTATAGTGGGAATGATGTGGTCCAAAATCTAAAAAGAAACATATTCTAATGTTCAAGGCTCCACACTAATCATATTGTCCCATCACCACATTCCAAACCTTGGGTTTATCCTTAAAATTTTTCTAATGGATCAAAATCCACCTTCCCAAGTGCCTGTGTTATGACTTATCCTCCCCACTTCCATTAATCATGTTGAAAAATGATGTGGCCCAAGGGAGGCTAGAAGTAGGAGTGATGGATTGAAATGCCTTTTTTTTTTTTTTTCCTTTGTGGGAAAGGAATATGTAAGAAGAGACAAAGAAAGCACACATCTGTGTTCTTATCTATGAAGTCGATTGCCTTTGGTAAACATGAACAAACCTTTTTTACATTAACTTTTAGAATCTGCCAACAGTTTGTGGGCATTGGCAGATTTGGTGCAAAGTATAATTATATATCTAATGGAAGAACACATAAACAGGATGGCTAAAGTGACAAAGATAGTGTATTTTTTATTTGAATTCAAATCCATTAAAAAATTAGAAAAAATATTTTTTCTTGAATTAGTTAAATTCAACGTAAATAAACCTCTTTAGACGGATTCAAAGTGAGAATATATGAAAAAAGAAACCAAAAAAAATTCTTGCTACTCAAAAAGAAAAAGGAAATGGAAGATTCTCCTTCCTAATCCTAAATTGTTACCTATGAAGGCAGCCTAATGCCAAAGAGGGATAAAAAAAAAATGGCATGCCATAAGGGATAACTATGGCAGATAATTAATTACAAAGATTTTATTATAGGTAGA